AATAGGACCTTTTCATAAAAATTCTGTCCCAAAGGGCGTACCTCCACCATGCAGACAGATCTGAGATCAGATGCCCAAAAGCCTCAACCCTTCCTGCTCCAAGCAACACATCAGGATCACTCCAGAACAAGGTGATGCACAGCCCATAGCGTTGCACCCCATAATAAGCACAGCCTGGGCCCCACTGTGTGCTTGCTGTCCCCAAGTGGCTCTGGAGCACCAGGGCAGGCCCTGTTCCTGGTGTCCTGCACACTGCAGAGCTTGCTGCACCCACTGCTCCTCCCCACTTGTACAGGCTGCTGCTGTTTTGCTGAGTTTGCATTCAAGAGGGGAAAACCAGGCATAAAACTGGCACAGCGACCAGTCTGCTCTGTTGGTGATTGAGTGATAAGTCGTGCAGTGGTTACACAACTGGGCCGTGTCTGTGGAGCCAGGGCTTCTGAGTTTAATTTCCTGCTCAGCCACTGACTCATCACCTCGCCTGGGGCACATCACTTCACCTCTCTGCACACACATTTCATCGTCCTTGGGAAGGTGTGTGGGGGGGTAATAAGGCTGCCTCACAGGAATGTTGGGACACTCAAATTACCCTAATAAATATTTGTAAGACACTTTAGACGATGTTTCAATAAAAGCATCAAGTATTTCACTGTAGAATAAGTAACAGCCAGGAGAATGTCCTAATTGCCAGGCTGGTTCATTTGCCTACTGTGCACCATAGGTTTTCTGGCAGCTGTACTGAAGGGGTGCCTCAGGTAGGGGAGAGGTGAAGAGGTGGTTGGACTTGTGCAGCAGCAACAGCAGGTAAATGTCAGCTCGTGCCACAAAACGAGCATGTGGTGGATGGTTGTTATGCCATGGGTTGAAAAGCATTTGTGTCATTTTCAACCCAGACTCACAAAAAGCTAGCACAGATGACTTTGGAAGGGATGGCTTAATCTTGTTAAGCACTGTCAATAAAAGCCACGTGATTTCTTGAGAATTCACTGGCAACTCTGGGGACTTAGAAAGCATTTAGACATGGGAAGTTCTGCTATTGCATATCCCCAGAGGTGTTATCTTGCTGCATACAGCGAGCACCTCGCCATTGGGATTCATTGCCCAGGTGTGTCAGTGCCTGATTCCCAGAGGATCTCGAAGGCATATTCAGAGTTATTATATTATTTGTGTAGTCACACAATTTTGCTTTGGGAAATCAAGGAGCTACTGCACTTCAGGCACTACAGGCTGTATTTAGACACAGGTGAACTTTGAGGGTCCCTGCACATGCAATGAAGTTGGCTGTTGCTGATGGAAGGGCAGAGCTGAGCAGAGAGCCAAGCCAGCCTCAGGAATTTTCAAGGTACACATTGTCCAACCTACCCAGCTGCATCCTCTCCACTTAGTTCTGCTAGCTCCTGCGTTTCACTTTGATCTGAAAGGTGTTTCAGAAGATATCCACAGGCAACCTGTCAAGTGTGTGTAAATCCCCGAGAGGTGCAGAGTTGCTGAGCTGGCTGGTGCCTGTGACTGCCACAGAAGGCTCTGGCTACAAACCTGAGCTGATGTGACAGCATTGAAAGCATTTTGTCTCTTTCACCCGCTGTGAAATGCCCAAGGCCCAACTTCCCTGCTGCAGCTGAACTGCTGAGCAGCCTTGGCTGCTCTTTTGTTTTGGGGATTATCTCCTATTGCGACCTAAATCCCGGTGGCCCTCAGGTGGCGGCACTTCCAGTCACTTAACCAACACAAATGGTAGCAAAAGGGGTTTTGTTCCCTTCATGGCTAGTTTTTAAAACGAGAAGGAATTTTATAGAATCTCTGACAGTTATAACACAGATAGTTTCAAGGCAACAGACCACTTTTCTCCTTCACGTCCATAATTCTCCACCTGAAATTTCTCACCGCAGGGTCAACCCGTGGATCAGTGGCAGAAGTCCTCTCCTGCCTCTCACTGAGCCACATCCACACAGCACAGTCAGTCCAAAGGGACTCTTAAAACCTTCTAGTAAGGAAGCAGAGAGCCTGGAGAGCACAAAGTACTCTACCACTGAAGCACATTGGACCCCATACTCTGTCCAACAGAGGATATGAGCACATTTCCATACCCAACATCTACAAATTCTGTAATTAGGGAAAAAAAAAAAAAAACCCACACTACAAAGCTGATTAATGAAATTTTCTCAGTAAAACCCACATACGTTAATCTAGTTACAATATGTTATGACTGACAGTCAGAAAGTAGTTACACAGAAATGGAAAGCCATAAGTCAACTTCCTCTAGCCTTCAGCCAGCAGGGAGTCCCAACTCTTAGGTAAGCTCTCCTATTTTTCTTTGGATTAACTTGCTCAAATTGCATAAGCCATGGGCTTTCTGTCTCCTTTTGGGTTCTCTCTGGTGGGCAAAAATAGAGCAATAACAATTTCTGCTTTGTGCTGAGAGGTTCATCCAAAGAGCTAATAAGCATTTTTTTTTTAATTGCACCTTTCAGTTATGAGTTGATAGCATCGAGTTTCAAACTATGTAAGAGAAAATGACTGCCCTCAGAAAGGAATTCAACAGGTGAAAAGTAGTGTAGTATCTGGGCCAGTTGCTGATGATTACATGGAAGATGCTCGGCATGTGCGACATTAAGCATTCCAGCTTCTTTCCATTCTTCCACCACCCTCTTTTTTGGATGCAGACTAATGCTGCTAGAAATAATATTCAGGTCTCTGGATGAGAAAACTCTGTACTGGGGATAGAAATAGTTTTAACATGATAGTTCTCAGAAGTCATACTCAGAGATCTGTGATTCTCAGGAAACCTGTTTCCTTGTAAGTAATTTGTGAGCCACATCTTGGATGGCCATTCTTCCTGTTCCCAAAGTCCCAGATACAGGGAACATGAATAATCCAACTACAGAGCTGTAAGAATCCAGCAGACAAAAAGGACAGAAGTTCAATTCGGCTGCTGCCTCAGCTGTAGACAAACTGCCAACAGTTATTAGGCTCTGTCACTTCCCTTGAAGACCGGATCAGTTTCCAGGGCCAGGCAACAGCACAGCACTTCTCCCAGCAATAACCCTCACTGGGCAGTCCCTTGGCCAGCAACTGTCCATGAGCACCAAGCTGCAGCTCTCCCTCAGTGGAAGAGCTAAGCCAGTTTTCAGAAGACATACAAGGTGCTTTTCAGCAGCAGGTGAGATCACCACTGTCTGAAGTAAAATCCTGGGCAAGGATCCTTTTCATGCTTTTTTTTTCACACAGACTTGATGTTCCTCCTATGCCTCTCTTCCTTTGTGCATCAGTAAGCAATCTGCACCCAGCAGTGCAGAGAGGAAACACGCCACGGGGCAGTGAAACCACGGGTGTGTTATTAAGGAAAGAGGGAAAACAGACAACTGACAGACAGGATGCACAGATTCTGATTTAATGCTAAACTGAATGTAGTCAGACAAAGATCCAGACCTAATAATTTGTCATTTGTTTCAGCTTAATCCTACCTCTACTTAATGAGCACAGAGAGAGCATTTGGCATCGGTATTTTCAAGGAAATTATTTTGCTTGTGGAACAGCTGAAAACTGCATGATTCTTCCTTTTTTTTTTTATCTTATTTTTAAATGTCCATGCGGTTCATCACATTCTTCAGTCCACACCAGCAAGATGCCAGAAGACATTTCCACTGGCTAAATAAAGAGCACACAACTTCCAGCTCCATCTCCTATGTGCTCCTGCTGTTATAGTGCAGTAGAAGCTAGAGGAAAAGGCTCCTGTTGCCAAAGCAGCACAGAGCCAATATAGTTTAAGCTCAACAAGCTCAGTTCCCAAAAGCTTCAGTAAAGGTAGCATTTCTCACAAAGCCAAATGCTTCAGGGAACCGAGTATCTGCAGTACAATCTGAAGTCACCCGAGCTCCGGGACAATAACAATTTCCACTAGCATCCTTCAAAATACTGGAGGAGGTAAGAGCCATCTTTTTGTTTCACTTCCTAACTGGCTGCACCTCTGATGTCTTAGCTTTCAGAAGCTCAGAGCAAAATTCAGACTTCTACAAAAGGAAGGGACCTTCCAGTTATTCTTGCAGGGGGCATCAGCATGAAACTCAAAACAGATTTGTATTCAACTCCAGGCTGGAAGAGCCTAATGAGAGAACAGTGCAGCTCTGGCTCATGTTCTAAAAACCTCACCCCGCTTCTTGCACGCACACATCATTTGAAAAGTACATCAGCATTGAAATTCTGTTTTGAGTTTCCTTCAACATACCCAGTACTGTGATGAAAGGTTCCACAGAGAATGGCATCTTTTTCTTCCTTATGAAGGCAGGGGCTGCATGATTTGTAGCTATTCAGAATGGAAGAGGACTTATGAGAATAACATATAGGAATGAGAAGAGATTGTCACCTTCATGACCCCCTGGGATATTTGCTCAGATCCCTCACACCTTATATGTCTGAGGTAATGATGCTATGGAACGTGCTGGAATATAGTAGATGTCTTGCATTACAAGGCTGCGTTTGCTTCCAATAGTTGAACTAAATAAATATCAGCAGTTCAGCCATCAGGTGGATGGTTAAGACACACACTGAAGACAGGGACAGGAAGAGCAGCAGAGATGAGCTGTTTGAGCTTATGCCTGAGCCACGCTGAAACAAGATACAGGTGCTTCTGTTTTGCATTTCAAATACATCTCTGTTTGGGGCTGCATATATAGCTGCCGTGCTCAGACACACCCGTGGATAGGATTTATGCAAACAACAGTCCTACCACTAACAGTCCAACCTTTGAGAGCAGATCAAAGGAGGGATGAGTGGAGCTGCAGCTCCTGACTACACACGCTGTATTTTACCCATCTCTTTTTATCTTGGCCAGAGGAATGAGCGAAACAGAGTCTGAATACCTTCTGTGTATGTCTAATGACTAGATTTAAGAAACCCAGAACACTTTTTTCCCCTGAAACGGTTTTTAATTTTCAGCTTGTTTGCATTTCTGGAATGGAAATGTAGAAATCTCAAAAAAAAAAAAAAAAAAAAGACACCATTACAAACTACACTTTAGTTTCAATAAAATCAAAAATAAAAGTGTTTGGCATGTGAAATAAAGGTACTGACAAACAAGGTCACAGTGAATATATGTAATATGCAAGTATCACACAAGGGATGTCTAACTACCGGAAAAGATCAACTCTGAACTCCTGAGAACTTTGAAAAAACTTTGCAAATTCTTCCTGAGAGAACGACCACAGTGATTCCAATCTGAGAGAACTGAACATGAACAGGTACCACATGAGCCAGATCATTCTGTTACATGATTGATCAGAAGGTGCTAGAGGATGTTTCCTTGGCATTGCACTTTCCTGTGTACTTTCCTGAAGGTTCTAGTATGACCATAGCACCATCAGCTCAGTGGTCTTATTGGAATCTAACAGGTGAAATCGCTACTTTTCTTCTTTATCACACCTTACCACTGGGGAACACCAGGTCACAATCATGGACGTCTAACATTTTATACACAGAGTTTTATAGGAAAAAGGGACAAATAAGGTGCCAAGGTGCATGAATAAGTCCTGTGTAATATTCAAGAAACTGAGAAGCACATCCCAGCATGAAAAAGCTTTAACATTTTGAACTTCATCGTCCACCTCGCTGATCTGCAGAAGCTAGCCCTACAATGCCTTTCTGATCAATACCTGTGGGCCCAAAAATTCCTGGCTAAAAAACAAAGTTTGATGAATGTCCAACTGTTTTTTAATTCTCCAGAGACAAATGTTCGTTCCATTGGCTTTACAGAGATGTTGTTTTCATGTTCTTTTCTGCATCGATCTCACATCGGTGTCTCCTGGCTCTTCTTCCTGACACAGCCCAGAGGAGCAAAGAGCCCACCAGGACTCCAGCTACTGCTGCCACAATGACAGCCCAGTAGGGGACTGAAGGTTCCGTCTTCTCCAAGTTGAGAGCTGAATTCCTGAATCCACTGTTTCTCAGTGTGGAAAGAAAAGGTTTCCCCTATAAAGAGAGATGAAAGATTTTACTGACCAGAGACACCTCGCAGCAGTGTTCAGTCAGCATAGCATCCCCCCTCCCAGAGAGGGGAGTCAATTTCTAGACAGGCAATCAACTTCTGCCTTCTGCCTTAGCCCAAACTGTTTCCTGCCCCATTGCCTGAAGTTCCTAGAATTAAAAAGAGAAGTCACCTTAGAAAAATCAATGATGGCATCATTTCCAAATTTGTTTGCTGCAAACAACAAAATGGAAATGTCTACTCTCATTAAAACTGGCTCGAAGTAGAGATTTCCATTGCAGTAAGGATAGATCTATGGCATTAAACCTTCTGCAGAATTTCCAGAGTGTAATAAACAGCAGCATATTTTTGCTATTTAAAACTTTTACAAAGATATTCTTGGGAAAAACAAACAAACAAAAAACAACAAGAAACAGTAAGAACAGAGGAAAACAATAAATGTGGTTAAAGAAGAGTATGGCCTTTACTTACAAGGTTTGGACACTTGAGTTTTGATCTGTCATAGGTAAAGTTGTTGTAAGTCTGCTTTTCACCAACTGGTTCCATCTGAGGAAGGGAAAGCAATAGTAAACAGTGAGGATTTTTTTTCTCCTCAGATTCCTGCCTACAAGTTTTTATCCAGTCTTTTGGTGCCTGCAGCAATGAAGAAATGTGGGAGAAGGTGCATCATAGGAGAGTTTTCAAACATTTTAACAGTCATGAACTGAAGACATTGAGAATCTGACGCAGTGTCTGTAGAAATTCAGGAAGCAAACAGGAGAAGCCTTTCCTCCTTTCTCTCTGAGTGCAGGAGAAAATAGCTCTGACTACCACATACTTCAAATATTCTGCTACAACAAAGTGGTGCACTATACACCCAGTTCTCCCACATAGACATCTCAAATAACAGTATAAACCACAGATTAAAAAAAAAATCACATGAGAAATGTTAGTCACATTACTAAGCACAGTACTGAAAGAAAGAAGCTTAGGTGTCATGGTGACGGAAATGCGTTCAGAAATGATGTGGAGTTGCACAGGCAGGAGGGGACAATACTAACCTTTGCAGTCTACACTCAGACGAGAAATGCCCAGGGAATTTTAGCTAAGGCTAAGTTCACAAGACAAGCAAGAAGCAAATTAAATAAAGCCTTTTAGATCATGAGTTGACACTAAGCTGACCATAGGCTCTCCCTGAATCCATTTCAGATGCAAAATAAAGTATGTCCAGGCTAACAGCACAGCATCCGTGGTTGGCTAGGAGTGCACATGCCATCCGTTACCATAGTTAAACTAACAAGTAGAAGCTTAATCAGTCACGTTGACTGAAGCATTTACAACTGTGTATGGACATGCCAGAAGTAATGACCTGAGGACTAGCCCATAGAGAACTGCAGAACTGTCACCCAGCACTTCTGGGTATACAGCACAGAGGACTGCTGTTGTTGCTGCTACCATTTATACACACATCTACTGTCCCACATGACTGAAGTGTCACTGGCATGGTGGAGAGAGAAAAAATACCCTGACAAAACCAACACAAGATGGAGAAAAAAATCTTGACAACAAAATTCCAGTATGGGAATACTTTCTCTGGTTTCTTCATACAAAATAAAAATAGACCCAGAAAAAAATCAAAGAGGAGAGGTGAACCAATACAAGATAAAGAAGCTGATCCCTCATGTATTAAAGATATGAGGAGGAAATAAATGTAAGAAGTGTGGAGAAGATGAGAAATAAACCAGAGAGTAAGGTTTCACTGGTTGTCACGAGGTCCTGTTGGACACCTATGAGTCCTAATCATTTGGCCTGCCTTCTTGCTAATGTTGTGGAGGCAGAATTTGCTTATTTTGTTGCATTTGAAGGGAAAAGCTCAAGTTCTGATGTAATTATTTCAAAGCTATGTGGTTCATTTCTTGTAGCATTCTGCTGCAGCCTAAGAGGTTAGTTGTAGGTAACTGCAACACTTTCTGTGCCAGAATACTTGGCATAATACCCAGGCAAAGGACAATAAGGTGCAGAATTCTCTAGCCTGTCCTTTGACACTATGCGATGTGTACCTCAGGAGCATTATCTTCTGAGCTCCGAAGATGACAGCATCTCCAAGTCCATAAGCACACAGGACAATTTCTGGAACACACATGCAGATCCTCTGGTAGCATGTAGCAAACACAGAGGCATAATACAAGCTAAACACACTGTCTGCGGGCCAGGGGGCTGATAGGGTGGATTTGGGACCAGTAGGAGACTGTTAAGATGAAAGAGTTTTCTGACTTCATAGGGTAGGAGTACGCTTTGCTTTACATGAGGCAGGAAGGGCAGAGAACGTGAGGGTGAGGAAGAGGCTCCTTAAGCCATCTCCATCCTTGCATACCCACACAGTGGCCAGGCACAGTCTAGCCCTACTGACGAGAATACATGTCATTTGGCAATAAGCCTACTTCTTGCTGAGCTCTTCAGGGAACAGCAAAACAATACAGCCTTACAGTAAGCTTGCACAACCTCTCCATACATGGACAGCGAGTGGAAAGAAGGGATGTATTACAAGAAATAGATTTAACTAGGAACTAGTCTGATCAACGTGAATTGACAGAGTTCTATGGAAGTGAAGAGTTTGCATTATTAAGAATCTGATCCCCAGTATGCAGTAGAAAGATGTGTCAATATTCTTATATGTGGGAAATGAGTGACAGCCTGGACAGAATAAAGCTCCAGTGGCAAAGAAAAAGGACTGATCATGATTCAGGAATGAGTAATGGCTAATAAGAATATCACGTGTCAACAAACCCAATTTAAGGCTACCATATGCCCAGATATTTTCTCTTTTTCTTCTTGGGATCTGCAGCCATGCACCATTTGAATGTTATTTACATTTGCCAGGAGGTCCTGAACCACTGTGAACCTCATTAGAGCTACTGCACAAAGAAGCCTACTAGGCTGCCACCATCTGGAGACCCACATGGTGAAGCCTGATGCTGAAAAATAGGCAGATTTGTTGGGTGCACAAATAGATAACTCAAGCACACACATTGTTTTCCATAACCCTGGACTTACAGCTCATGTGTTACAGAGAGCAACTGCATAGGTTTCTGTCCGGGATGTCCTAGTCCTTGTGCTAAAATTCCTTATGGAGTATGTTGTAAGTTTCTTATCTTGCTCAAACTTTTACTTAAACTGAAAATAGTTTCTCCTCTATTTACGTCTGTTTCTTGCACAAACCAGGATACAGCATTTCTGCTGGCACAGTGCATTTGCAAACTGGTGCTAATGAGACAAGAAGAGGAAATGTTGCTGTGGCATGAAAGCACCATAGTCTTTTTTCGACTATGGGAAATAACATCATTCCAAAAGTGACTGTTACCTTGGAGTTATCAAGTCTAGCATATGCTTCTTATACATTGTGCCAGCACTATTCAAAATTTGTTTCCTTCAAAATGACAGAAGGAACATGACTGCAAGCAGAGGAATCATAGGTGTGACTTCAGTCCTCCATTAGCTTCAGTGATTCTGACAGAATTGCCTCAGATATTTAAGTCGATGATACAACATTTTTAATGGTAGTAAAAAAGAAATTGATCGCATGTTTTCATAATAAGTCTAGGAGATGTCAATGAAGAAAGGTAGGATCATTCAATAGGCTTTTTCAGGAAAGATATAGGACTGTGTGTTTAACTGGACTGATTTTTGCCTTAGTGCATATTAATTACCAAAGCAGAAAGGAATTTTTCTTCAGAGTATGTTGAAACACTCAGACTTTCTCATAAGCAAAGGTGATAAGCAAAGGATTATACTACTGTTTTAGGCAACAAAACTGCTGTCAGTTGTGTTCCCAAGCAATGCAGACAAAGAAGGATCTCAGAGTTCAGTAGTTGTCCTCCTGTTAACAGTTTCATTTTTTGTTTACTGTTTTGTTTCACACAAACATCCTTTCTCATGATCTTTTGTTGGGACTCCTACAACAAGCACATTGGGATCTACTTTGTAGCCTCTTACCATATTATTCCAGAGAGCCATAGCCATCTCAGCATAGCCTTTTTCACTGAAATGAAAGCAGTCTGCAGCAAAGAAACTCAGATCTGGCTTGCCATTCTGCAATAAAAAGCAAAATAAATTTCTAAATACATTTCACATTTTAAGACTTGACATACTGTATCTAAAAGCGCACTGTACTTGCCATACCCACTTCACACTTTTTTGTATCTGCAGAGAAGGACGTGGGTGTCCTAGAGGACAACAGGTTGTCCATAAGCCAGCAGTGTGTCCTTGTGGCCAAGAAGGCCAATTGTATCCTGGGGTGCATTACAAACAGCGTGGCCAGTAGGCTAAGGGAGGTGATCCCTCCCCTCTATTCTACCCTGGTGAGGCCACATCTGGAGTTCTGTATTCAGCTCTATGTCCCCAGTTCAAGAAAGATGGGGAACTTCTAGAGTCCAGTGGAGGGCCACGAAGATGATGAGGGACCTGGAGCATCTCCCGTGTGAGGAAAGGCCGAGAGCCCGGGGGCTGTTCAGCCTGAAGAAGATTGAGAGATCTTACAAATGCTTATAAATATCCAAAGGCTGGAAGTCATGTGGATGGAGCCAGGCTTTTTCCAGCAGCGCCCAGTGACAGAAGAAGTATCAGTGGGCACAAATTGAAACATAGGAAGTTCCATATGAACATGGGGAAAACTTATTTCCTTTGACTGACAGAGCACTGTTCATGTTTTGACACTGCAAAGTTAGGCACTCATAACTATGGACACATTATTGCACCTTGAGATCTGCTGTGTAATGCATACTGTTCAATTTCACAAAGCAATTTCCATAACAAATTTGGACTTATCATTATACCAATAGTCACAGCTCTTATATGGACCCAGCCATTGGGTACTTTACCTTGAACAGAACAGATTAAAAAAACCAAAAATGTTTACTTATCTTTGCTGATTAAACTTTCACAACTCAGATTCTTTCAGGTATTCAAATTTGTGCTGGATTTCAGAAAATATCAAAAACTGTGGGTTTATCCATGAGAGGCAAATATCAGTACTAAGGAAAATACACCTTATCACTACTCAAACTGTAATCATTATTTGGAGTGGCAAAACGAAATAAGGATGTTATAACAAAAAGATGAGTATTATGCAAAACTGAGTGCTTCTGACCAGGATTCATACCAAGAATTTGTATCCTTAACTACAGAACATATATAATGTTAAAGCTGTACAAAAGAAGGGAGAATCAGCCTTTGGCTTCAAAGGCTGCTTCCTCTTTCCAGTCTTAGGTGAGTCAGGCATGCTGGTCTCCATGTGAAGAAAATCTGAACACATTAAACAACCTAAAGCAGAGAAGAACATCATGGTGAAGGCCAACCAAGCCCTCCAACAGCAGAAGCAAAAGGGGACAAGCAGTTCAGATAAAGCACAAGGGTGCCTAGATTCAGCATGCCCACTGTAAATGTCTCTCAAAGCTGTTCTGATCCACAGGCAGCACAGCTTTTCCTGTCTTTTCCTCTGTCACTCTTATTACAGGCTCTACCCTGTGGCCTCTAAACCATGCAAACAAAGAAAACACAGTCCTTGCCTCACGGATTCTGCCAACTTAGAGAAATCAAGATACCGGTCCATGCAAGATGCAAAAGAAAAAGGAGACTCACGCTGTCCATAGGCAAAATGGTGTTTCGGAAAAATGGCTGCACAACAACTGCGAAGTCCTCACGCTGTTCGTACCGACCACTGTTGACCAGCTGTAAGGCTTCAGCCTGTGGGGAGTTGCATGGTTGGAAACAGGAAAAGAACTTGCAAGAATCATCTACAGCTATTGTAAAAACATGCATATTACATTTTTTCAATGTAGGTTGGCATAACTTAGTACAAATCCAGCTGAACAGTACTGAACGGTCCAGAGAATGGCAAAGTAAATAATTTGGAAGTGGTTTTCATGAGAAAAATATGAAGAAGCTAAGACATTTGGAAAAGTGAAGTAGTTTAATTTTGACCAAAAAAAATGTGGTTTGTATCTTACAGAAATCAGTGCTTCATAAGCACAATAAGAAAAAAGGTACAGAGAATTAGGAAAAGGAACAAGGCCAATTTTTTTAGAAGAGACAGATGATTGGGAACATGAACACGTGGGACATGCTTGATTTTTCAGAAAGGTGTGCTGGAAGTAAAATAAAACATAAGCACTGAAAAACACCTGCTACTTTTGAAAACTATGCCTACAGATATACATATTATCATACAGATAATAAAGCTATCTTCTTTATACCTTCCAGCTTATGGGTATAAACACTAAAGGTCCTGGTTATATCTCAGAACAGTTCTAGTCCCACTTCCCTAATAAAGAAAAATGTCCACATGGATAAGTTTATGTGTTTTCCAAGATGGATTTTTTGAGCTTTGTCAGATCCATCAGACAACATCTACTGCCATAGAAAGAACAGGAGGACTGGAGAACATACTGTGATCCCATAATGATCCCTGCATTCACAGGACTAATGACAGAAAAATCTTTTGCTCCAATGGCTATTTATAACCTTTGTTAAATTTGAGTGAATCTTAAGTTGGAGGCTATGAAAAGTTACTCTTTTAGATAATTAGTTGACCCATAGTAAGCTGTGTGCTAACTCTCAGCCCATGGTAAAAGAAAAGAATATCAAGTTAGTTTAATTCATTTCCTTTGCTGAGAGAGTAATGACAAAACTGCTGATGCAAGTTAATTTGTTATCCTTGCAGTAGCATGTCAATTCCTGTGAGCTACCCATTGCATTCATAATGAATGTACACCAACAAAACAGCCATCACCAGCAACTCCTTTCCAAATGCCCAAACAACTAAGCTCAAAACATTAAGGCAGAAAGACTGCATTGCTGCTAATCAGCCAGGAGGCCAGGATTTTAATTAAACTGTAGCCAAGCTGTTTCCCAATCTCCTCTCAGTTCTGAGGTTTTGTGTGAGAGAAAGGGGATTGAAGGAAGAGATGAAAAAGAAACACAAATGAAGACGACTAGTTACAGAATCAAATTGTTACCTGAAAATCTCTGTTGACTCTCTTAATTTCTTGTAGATCAGAAGAATTTTCTTTGGGGTTTAAGAAACATGGACAAAGAGTCCTTCAATGAAAGAAATACTAAAATTAAAAGCCGACCTAGAGTAGCACTTCTAGAGTAATGTGTCTGGTACAAGCAGCTCAGAATAGCTGCTCAAAGCTTACAGGCAGGAGAACTTTCTTGCTTACTTAAACATGGATACAACAGGAAAAAAAGTCCTCATTGACTTCATTTTCCCTAAATACCTGCCACAGCCACTAAGAGCTGCAGGATTCACAAGTCTTGAATGTCAGACACAAACGTAGTGCTGCCACACGTTAGCAGCATATCATGTTTTTGAATAAAAACACCCTACATATTGACATACAGAGAGTTTCAGAAATCCAGAAGTTTAGAAAATAAATTGTTCATGTGATCTGACTCCTCAGACTACTGCGTTTCCTTCTCTTACTCTCATATCAAGTAGTAACTCGTGCTTCACTGAAATGCATTCTCTAAGAAGGAATTAATATGAAAACATCAAGCAAGACAGTTGATTCATTAATATCTCTTCTAGTGTGTTCCAGTAGTTGATCACTTCTATTATTAAAAATCCATGCCTTATTTCATTTGAATTCATTAGGCATCATCTTCCAACCAAAGGTATTTTTAATAACTTTCTCTGCTAGATTAGAGAGCCTTACGCCCACTTTACATGGATATGAAATACATCCATGCTGACTCCTCTGAAGGCACGGCTACTTCATAAAACATGTCCACAGTCTTCTTGGAGTTACGATTTTGGCTTCATCCATTTGGTGGGAAACGCAGCTCCTGGTCTTGCTTTCTGCAGCCCAACCCATGCAATAGGTTGAATACATGGAGAGGCATCAGGGATATCAGCCTGAGCTGTTGAGCAGCAAATGGCCAGGCGTAACAGGCACTAAGGTCAGTAGTAAGGCAACTGCATGGTGATTTATGCTACCTTAGAGCTAAGGAAGGCAATGACTGACCACAGCCACATGCCTTTTAGCTGAAGTACTGGAAGAAGCAATAGAAAGTCAATGTGAACTAGTGTACTCAAGTAAAGGCAGCAATAAAAGGAGCTCAGAATGGTCTATGTGCCTATCCGTACTGTAGCAACAGTTTAGATTGATCAGAACAAACAAACAAATAGTAACAAAAAAGAAAGGCTTTTAAAGGTAAAGCTGTGCTGTGTTCACTTACTCTGTCAGAAAGCATTCTGAAGAGCTTGCTGCCACCTGACGCAGTCCAGAAATCTCAAGTATCTCCACCATGTTGATAAAGACTCTTGGGAGCTGCAGGGATTATAATAAGCAGACATACCGAGTCAGAGAACATGATACCACTACAAAGGGAGAAAAGTGCCATCCGTAGGTCAGTGAGTCAGTGCAGAACCACACTGACTGCAACCAATAGCAAGGGTAAGGTATAAAGAGAGGGAGACATATAGTGGATGTCAGCCAAAAAATTCCTGGCAGCTAGTACAAACTAGCTGAAACGCTGCTTCATTCCCTGGGGCATTTCCATTTTCTCTAGGGTAAATGAAACTTGGTTCAGCCATCAGCACTGGCAGTAATGCTGTGATTTGATTCCACAGCAAAAACAGCACTAAACTCGGTTGTCCTGAAACTACAGTACATTTTCTCAGGGCATTATCTAACACAGTTGTTTGACTGCTCCTCAGTGCTGCATTATGATCTCAGCTCTTTGGAAGATAATCTTGCATGAAATATAATCACTGAAAGTCTACCAGAGGTGAGAAAAATACAAGCGTGCTTGCCAGGAACATAGCTTGCTAGGGTATCTTTAAAGCTTACCTCTGTGTAGAAAATATCCAGAGTGTCCTGGAGGTGCTTTACATAGTTTTGCACTGAATACGCTTCCTATGTAATTAAAATAAAATAAGATTAATCTTCTTTCAAAAACCCAGAAGTTTTGGCTGTTTCAGTCGCACAGTGGAGTCCCTATTCTCCTTTCTGCTTCTGATGGCAGATATATTTTTGGAACAAGAGGTTTAGTGCCACACGCGCACAGGTTGTAGAGTGCCACAGGAACACGAGCACTGACACATTCACTTAATCTCCACGGAAAATCTAGAGGTATTTAAGAGTTCTCGGCAGAATCTTTCCTTGATGAATAAACAAAACCCATAGGCAAAACAACTCTGAGTGTGGTTATAGAGGTTTAGCCACTGGGGTGAAGACTCCACTTAGCAGTCTTTGAAGGAAATAGACCAAAACTGAGAGAACAATCCTCAGTTATTTCAATGAGCTGGACCTCAAGACTTGTGTGTGTGATTTTCAGAGGGGATGAGTACTGACAGTTAGATATGACATCTTTTTTCGCCATGAACTGATGTTACTTCATTTGGTGTCATTCTGAAGCAAGAAAGAGACATCTCCAATAATTATTGCATGGAGACACTTTCCAGAATAAATGTTCACTTGTGTCCCTGTAACAACAAACATAAGACACCACACTTCTTAAGTGCTTTGTCCAGTCAAGCTGGAAGAGCTCTTTGGTTTATACTTTTGTTCAGTATGGGGCAGATTGTTGCTGCTTAAACTGTGCATAACTCCAGACCTGCAGTGCCTCAAAATTAAAAGCTGTGTACTTCTTTCTTATACAACACAGATGAAAGGAATTGTAGTCCTAAGTGCTTTTTAAACAAAGAGGAGCTTTGGCTCATGCAGAGAGAGAAAGGTTAAATTTCCAGGGCTGGGCTCCTGCCAAATGCCCAAACAAGCATGCCTGCTTCAGAGATACAAACCTTATCCAAGCAGTACTGACACAGGTCATTGCCTCCAATGAAGATAGTGATCAGCTTCCAGTCCTCCTTGAAGTTAATATTCTGGTGGCATACAAAATAAACAGATTTCTGTTTAAACAGATCCAGATTCATAAACAGATTCAGTTTGCTACTTAAACTTGCAAGGGTATCATTTAATGAGGGGGTACAGGAGGTACAGACTGCACAGCAGAGCAGCCCAAAAGAGGCGCAGCAAGTTAAGGCAGCAAAATAATGCCTTAGGCTGGAGGGAACCTTGAAGCCCACTCATTTCTGACCCCTTGCCGTGGGCAGGGCTGCTCCACACCAGCTCAGGCTGCCGAGGGCCCCATCCAACATAGCCTTGACACCTCCAGGGATGGGGCACCACAGCTTCTCTGGGCAGCTGTGCCGCTGCCTCAGTACCCTCTGAGTAAAGAATTTCTTCCTAGCAACTAACCTAGATCTCCCCTCTTTCTTTGTCCTATCAAAGAAAAGCATCTGTCTGATGGAACGTGAGAACTGTTTGCTAGTCTAGCTGCAGCTCACCTTGGCTTTTGTAAGGAAATCCCCTTCAGCAAACAAGAACCATGAGGGCAGCTGAGCACGGAGACGTGCCAGCAGGGGTGCTGAAACAAATACTGGGTTTGGGGCACCGTGGGGACAGAGCTGGGATTGCTGGAGCGGCTGGTGAGAGCCGGGGAAGTGTGCTGCTCGGGATCCTGCCAGCTGGGCAGGCATCGCCCCACGGGCAGGCAGGGAGAGAGGCACCCCAGGGACCAGAGAATGGATTAAAATAGCGGAGTCCGGGAGGCCGGTGACTTCACCGAGCTCATATAAGGGCAGCTGCAGCACCCACGTCACCGCGCCGACAATAGGCGCTGCTGAGAGCTGGAGCTCAGCAAAACATTTTGTAGCGTTCTGAACAAAGAAAGGAATCAAAGGCAGCTATTTTTAGAGCGGAGCATTTACATAACAAACAGCTGCGAAAGGATCCCGCAAATAGAGGAAGGGCCTGGGAATCACCCACGGGTCTGAATTCTCCTCCTCAAGCAACGCCTTGCTCCCAAAGCTTTGCACAAAGCGTGGCGGGGATTCCACCCCTTCCTCCCCCCCTCCTTTTTAAAGATGCATAAATAGCAGCGAATAAAACAGATCTAGAGCCGTGTAGTACTTCACTAAAGAGCCACAGCCTCTCCCTTCACTGCCAAACATTTGGTAGCACAGAGTAACTGACAGAGCAGTGAGTATGCAGCATCCATCAGGAGTGCTGGCACACAGGGATGCATGCTTTGACAAATCCTGCTTATTCGGTACCTTTCTTTCCCATTCAGTCTGAGCCAAGGAGAACCAGGTTCTCTTATTCCCTTACTGGACACTCTATGAAGCAACAAATCACACTGACAGTCACCACCACAACAAATTCAGACCACGCTTGGGGCAAGACAGCTTCAGCTTTCTCCCACGTTTCCCCCCACACCCCAAACTTCAGCACTAGCCACTGTGTTAAAAGCTCTCTGCAGCCCTCAGTGGAGCAGGAACAGCAGGTTGGTCCACAATATTAGATCCGTGACCAGTTCCCCAAAAGCCTGAGATGTGGCAGGGATTCACTCCACCTTGTGGACTTTGGCCTCAAGGTCAAATGATTCACATTCCTGTTTCAGGGGTGATCTCCCGGGAGGATTTCATGTTCCCTTTCCCAGAATTGCCATTCCCCAGACCCATACTCAGATCAAAGAACGTGACTGATGTTTGTCACTAGGCCCCTGCTCCAGCAACTTTGTGCTTGGCCTTTATGAGTTGCACTTTGAATGCTGCTGCTCACTTACAGCCCTGTGATTTGCCTGGAGCCTCCAGATCTCCTCCTCCTTCCCACTACTATTCTCACAACTCCCAGATGCATCAGCTTCTGCCCTTTGTGTTTGCACACTACCTGGGTGGATTTGCACAGGTAACTTTTAATCTCTTAATGATAGTGACTGTTCCTTAGGTGCTTATCTCAGAAAACATACCAGAGATGAGGACACTGACTTTTCTCCTATCAGTAAAGAACTGTATTCAGTTGCCCCATGAACTGGCACCATGGGAGCACTGAGGTGCAATCTGAAGTCCCTGCTTTGTTTTTTAGGAACAATCCACTTACCGAGCTGCTCCTCATTAGCTCCACCAGTTCACGTGCTTGGGCTGGCATATTGCTGTAGGAAGAGGACAGAAGGATGTTAGATGCATGCTCTGAAATATCATCATCATCATTTTCTCTCACACTCTTCATTTCAGGGAATGCTAGGAGTGGCAAAAATTCACACAGAGAATGTGATGCCTCAGAAGGAAGAGTAGTGACCAGAGCAGCAGCAGTTGCACAAACAATCTGATCTAAAAGGGTTTCAGCTAGGACAGCTGCCAAGCGGCAGTCAACTGGGATGGATTCTTGTAGGCTTAAGTGCATTTTATTTGGAGAAAAAACACTAATGCCCAGATGTACAGAGAAATTTAGCTGCATAATTCCTTTTGAAATCTAGTAATGTTTATACAGAAGCTGGGCACCTAACCAGCTTTCCTGATCTGGCCTTCAATTCCTACAGCTTGTCTGGAGGATATTGCTTACACAGTGGAACTACTGGAGTAGAGCTCAGGTCTGTGCAGGATGCAACATCCATAGAGCAAAGCACAAACCGTGCTGAGACTCCAGCTGGAGAGTTGAGCTTCTGATATGTTAAAATGAGACTGCGCTTGAGCAGCTTGAGTCCTGCATTTTGCCAGCAGCTACACAAACATGGCCACATTTATTTGTACTCCCAGAATCACACTGAGGTCAGGTCACTCACAGAACAGTAGCTACTCAGGCTTTGCTAGCTACCCTGAAACACTTTTGCAGAAAATTTGATGACTGTTAAAGAGGTCACAAAGTCCTGGAAACAAATTCCATGAATATCCATGTAGCAAGCACAGCTTGTGCAATACAAACTCATACATTTTTGTTCTTAACAGACTGTGGTGTTTTCCTTCAAGAGGTAAATGGATTTTTTTCCAGATGCTCACTCGGTTCATTTTCTTTACACTGCAAATGAGGAAAGCTTTTAGCTCAATTAGGTGACAGTGAGTTTCTATTTGCTAGTTGAAGGCACATTTCCCAGAAATCAAGGAATAACTGAGAGAGTCATCAGATTTTCTCATTACAAACAGACTGAAAGTGAATGAGGAAGCTGCAAGCTGAAGGCTGAGCAAAAAAAGGTACTGATAGAAACCTCCTTTCTTTATTTCTTCTGCACAGAATATTTGAGCTAATGCCTTATTATGCTTCTATTTCCTAATTTGGAAAAAGAATAAAATTAAATCATGAAATCAGAAATCAGACCACAGAAATGTGCACATTACACATAGATCATCAGTATTAACTCAGCCTCAACATGCAGCTCAAAGACAATCTGTCAGTGCATCAGTTCTTTCCTACTCCTTTGCCCGTTCTTGGCTTCAGTTGCACTTACCGTGAAGTGGCACCTCTCTCTGCAGCATTGAATCCAGCTGCTTCCTTACTGTTGCCAGTGGAGAAGCCAAAGAGGTTTGGGTTGAATTTTTTCAAGATATCTTAAAAAGAGAAGACGATGTTTAACCATCCATGGTACAACTGGCAGTAGACACACCTGCTTTGGAGACTTCAGTACTATGAGTATTTCTCCCTGTGGAGAAGGACAAGGACAAGGGCTTGGTGGTGCTGATGACACCCAGGTCCTAGGGAACTTGCTGTTATTGACAGTGAGTGCCAGAGTAATTGTGGTTTCTTCCCTTCACCTACCAGGAGCAGATGCTCCAAAGATGACCCTCTATCTCACAGTCCCCTATTTACCTATTAAGATAATATTTATAACAGGAAAGTGGATTCTATTCATGTTTATAAACTTCAGTGAAACCCTCAGCAGCAAAGCATGATGCCTGAAAACTGTTATTATTACTGTGTCTGTAGTGCTGTCTGAAACCTCTTTATAAAGTCTCACTTACAATGCTGCATGCATAATGAAATGTATTTTCTATTTTTCCTTAAGCACATTGTTCATGCTACAAGACAAAGCACACCAGTTTTTGTTATCAGCAGTGTCAGGTATTGCCAGACTGTTCCACAGCGTGGATCACATAGAAATAGATGAACCACTGTGAACCAATTCCCCTCTAATTTATGGTCACACTGACCACTTAGTGGTTTCTATGGCAACTACAGGGACTGGTTACACGGAATGCTAAAACAAGAGATGTATAGTATTTTTAGATTTTTTGAGTGCAATGTAGCAGCTTGAAAGCATTGAGAGAAACCAACAGGAAATCACAACCTTGCCAATGATCTTTTCTAAATAGACTGTTGATTGTTTCATAATCCTTCATTTGCCCACAGTCACTGAGCAATACATTTGGTGATTGGAAAACACAATGAAATGAAGAAGGAACAGATCTGCCATGGAGTCCTGACACCTACAGTACATTTACTCTTCATAATTTCTGTCAAAAGGATGCACTGGCCACATGCAGATCCTGCAATGTGGAGGGGCTGAATTAGCTTTGCAGCTAGGAAGGTCAGTCAGGGTTTCAGCTGTGAGTCAAGTGAGTTACTCCCATTCACAACAGATGGGGATGCCCACCGTTTGCAAGGGAAGAGTGATCATTTCCAGATGTTTTTGAACATCCACTTGGACTGCTTTCAGTCTAATAATGTGCTTTTCCCCTTACTCAGGCTGGTTTTTCAGGACACTCACTGGGTAAAGTGGTTTGGGTCTCCAGGGTGCCATCACCTCCAATACTACAAAGGGAAAGCACAGAATTACTGAGTAGCAATATTCTGCAACCCTCTTATTGTCAACATACATTGCTGCTGCAGCCCAGGAAGGTATACACACCTCAGACTGAACTAGGAATATAAAGCCACAAGACAAGAAAGAATTCAGGAGAGGTCCTGAAAGGAGATTTCAGATTAAATCAAGCAGGATTTCAGCTAGGATATATGCCTATAAACTAGGAATGGAGCATACGGCAAGAATCAATTTTTTTATATGAATGTGCTGGGATGCCCATTGTCAGAAGGCATGTGCCCCTGCTGAAAATACATTTGTGTGCATTTATGCATAGAAGAGAGACTGCATTAAATGTTCATTATCCACCCATCTGGGATTTTGCAGTGTTAATAACAAAAAAAGCCTCTGCCTCTACTGTTATCATAAATCAGTTGATCATGGAACTCTCTAAGACTTAAGCTGGGACGTTAGAAAGCAGGTGTTCTTTATTCTCAGAGCTGGATGTACAAATGGATCCTTCCACCTAATTGTGTGTACCTGGTACAAAATATCTTCAGTTTGTATACAGGAGTTACATGTGCAAGGTTTTCCCAAGCAGTACATACACATTCAGTACTTCCCCCAAAATCATTAACACAGGGTTACACAAGCTCTTTTTGTGATGGTGGTTCTGAGACCCTCTAGATGAAGTCACTCCTCCTCACTGTGTTTACTGGCTGAAATCTGTCTTCACACATGCTCATTTAGCTCCCTGCTTTGATCGCACAATGCTTGCTTTCACAAAATTAGCTGATTCTAGCAGAACTTCCTTATCTACTTGGTACAAGGAGTTCAGTTTATCATCGTTATCTACTTGGTACAAGGGCACAGATTCTTCCTGTTTTCTAAACAAACTACAGGGCTATCCATCAACGAGCATTAGCAAGCTTAACAGTATCGCTACAACTTGTATCACTAGCATTCAAATAATGCCTGTGTGTATAGACAGTGTTCCCTATACTACCTCTGTCAGGCCCTGACATGGGGGAAGCACAGAGTAGAGAAAAGACAGATGAAGAAAGGAGTGTATACATGCACATGCTTACCACATATACCATTCATACTTCTGCCTGCGTGAGGCAGGCAGTTTTCTTCCACTCTAATGTGGACATTGAAATTCACATCCACTCTAAGATATATTGTCATTGCTTGCTTTGTAATTGCAAATCTATTTGGGACATCTTCACTGAATGTGCACGTGGTGCTCTCAGCACATTCATGCCAATCGGCACTCACATAGATTACCTAGCATTAAACACTGCTTTTGATTATCACAACAGCAGCAATAGACTGAGGCACAGGACCCTACTGGTAGCAGTCAGTTCTCATTTGAAAAACAAAAATCCAACACCACAAAAATCACTCCCTTTCTCTTCCAACTCTGACTCTCTCTCAAGCCCTTACCCAGCAATACTCAATCTCAGCATCTCGCCCCCATATTTACTCTCTGCAGAGTGAAGTCTGCTTGAAAGGAGCAGAATTTAGCTACTAGACATGTGGCAGCACACCCCTTTGTCTGATATACCTCATTCCCATCCTCTTTGGGATGTAACTACACAACCAGGTGACCCACATTTTCAACTATGTCTATGGATGAAAATACCAGAGAGAAAATTGAGCATATTTACCTCCAGGAACATCCCCTCCAGTCCACTTGTGGGTCAGTTGTGCAGGCTCCTGCCGCAGTCTGAAAAGGATGAAAAGAATAACTTATAGAATACTAGAATATGGTGCTGCAAGTTTAGATAGAACAGAAAATGTGAAAACGCTGAAGAACTTTGGTAACACCATTCTGAATCCAGCCAAGTCCTTTACATCATAAGTATTCCTTATCCTTATTCAACAGCATACCCTGGGCTCTGGGTAATCCTACATCTCCCACGCTTCAAATTCACAGCCTTATCCTCATGTATGAAGGCAGCTCATCTAAACAGCAGACCCTGGAGTAGAGGAAACACAGTCCAACCAGCAGGCATCAGACTCTAAGATCTTGGGAATTACATATGGCACTGGAACTACAACTCTAATCTATCAACAAATCAAGGGGAACCAGATTATGATCTACAGCTTTATATTTGTCTGGATTTTTCTGATGGAAACTGCTTTGTTCTGGCATGTCCTGAAGAAAACTGATGTTGAGAGGCTTAATAATACAGGGAAAAACACAGTTGAAAAATTCCCAGTCAGTTTTAGCTGTAAATAAATCAGTAGAAGAGTTGTTTTTTAAACTGCCAAGAAAACAAATCTTTGGTGCAAAATCCACTTTTCTCTGTTGGACCCAGTCTAGAAATTTAACACAGAGACTTTGTGAGGTGTAGGCAGGATTTTTATTTTGTATTTTTGCCAATACAGATAAATGTGTTGGCATATCTATTGCTTTCACCATGCACTGTGGCTGAGAGGTTGAACAGATGCATTCTAGCCAGTGACATGACTAAATTGCTCAATGTTTCATTAATCTCCAACTGCATCTGGACTGAGAACAGTCTTCCTGCAGTGTGAACTTTATTACGATTTAGTATACAGGAAAGTCATCAGAACAAAAAATGTGATGATAGATTTGAGTGTTCACAGGACTGGGATAGAATGCTTTCATTATTTTATTTTTCAAAAACTTCTAGCAAGGTCAGCAGCTTGACTCACTTTCATGACAGCAATAATGAAAATAGGTTTTCTGCAGCTTTTTAGTTTATTAATGGTTTCACTTCGTTTTGTGCTATTCAAAAAGCTGTGTGTCCTGGTTTTGGCTGATAAAGAGTTCTTTCTCTTCATCGTAGCTGGTATGGTTCTGTATTTTATTAGGATGAAAATAGCACTGATAAAACACTGATGCTTTCATTGCTGCAGAGAAGTGCTTGAACTGTCAGGGCCTTTTCTGTCCTCATTCTGCACTGCCGTTGAGAAGCTGGGAGTGCAGAAGGAGCTGGTAGGGGTACAGCCAGGGCAGTTGACTCAGACTGGCTAAATGGATATTCCACACCACATGGCAATGTGCCATAAAACTTGGGGGGATTTGGTTGGGTTGGCACTGCTGCTGCTTGGGGACTGACTGGGCATCAGCTGGGGACTGGTGCGTAATTGCAGTGTACACCAAACACTTGGTTGGTTTTGTTTGTTTGTTTTTTCTATTTTTTTTCCTCCTCCTTCATTTCTTATTAAACTGTCCATAACAGACAAATTCTCATATACCATTTTCAATTCTCTCTCCCGTAGCCCTAGGGGAAAATGAACAAGTGGCTTTTGTGGTATTTAGCTGCCTCCTGGCTTAAGCCACAACATCACGTTATCAACATAGCCATCAGCACTGACTGCATTCAGGGCTCTTGGAGGAAATACCAGGAGGAAAATCAATGCGTTAGGGAACCAAGACAGATTTTGCTATAGTCCCTCTGTACCAGGGATGAAGTACAAACTATGAGTTGCTGCTGGCTATACCAAAATGTTATTTGTGTACGTGTTTGCACGTGTGAGAAATATTCTTTGTCTTCTTTCTCCATGCCTCTCAACCAGCACTACATCTCATACATTCACACCTTGCTAAGGCAGTGTGAGAACAACTGCATGAATAACAGCAATATGAAAAACTGCCTTGCTCTGCTGCTGGGACAAAAACCTCAAGGAGCAGAGTCTGGCCCCTTTGACTAGAAATCTCTGCGACTTTTGATGTATTAGAAACAAAAACTTTTAAAAGAAGATATGTGTGCTATCAGAGGAGGAAATCAAGCAATTTTAAGTGCTGGCAATGGATAGGAAGGAGGTTTGCAGGGCCTTTACTGAGGTCCTCCAAGAAAAGCTCAAAGCTCGGTAGGAAGGAAGAAGGATTACTTCAGGTCAAGTGAAATCTGTTGTGAGAGCCAATGAGGAGGTGAAGACATACATGCACACCTGCCTGTCAATAAGCCTGATCATTTGAGAGCTGTAGTCCATTCAACTCCCTCTGAACTCTGCAGGACTGAAGCTGCTAGAATGAGCACAGGTGAAGCTCAGTAGTGAAAATTCACGTTGACACCAATATCTGCTTTCATTCCATGCCAGAACAATTCTGGAGTGCTGTGCAATTCTGGAACTCATTCTCAGAAAACTTCAGCACAGATCGGCAATATTCCCTGTTATTCTTTTTTTGGGCCCTTCTTTTCTGAGACTTTTCAGTTTGCATTTCTTGGTACGTGAAATACATCACAGTTTTAACTAAAAATTAAAATTAACCCAAGAAACAACATCTGAGAGCAAGCTTCTGATATACTGAAGTGTCAGAATTATCTCAAGTGAGAAACACTTTGGTCTGTAATCAGTTATTTCTCTAGGAAATTTCATCAAGACCTGCCATTGTATTTAAAATGGCAATTGATTTTTCTTATTTCAGAAAATACTGTTTCTATAAGGAAGACATTTCCCTTTTCTAAAACACTTGAATAAATTGTGTGCAATAGAGAATGTGATCCAATTTCTGTTCTGACCTGAATTATTCATTACTAGATTACTCAATTGTCAGTGCCAGTGTCACTCATATCTCTTTAGGCTATTTCTTTGCAAAGGGACACAAGTAGATGAGCTTTTCTTTGCCAGACAAAACAGTTTGCTTTCTATCTGATGATGACTGACATAACCACATAGAGGTAGAAATCAACACTTACTCTTCTCATTCTAAACCTGGAAATATAGCAGTACTTACAGTCAGGGAATCTCCCAATGCTCCAATGACTTTGATGTCAGCAGGGTGTAGCTCATGTACTAAAAAGGAGTAGGAATAATAAAAAACATAGTAATTGATAACTGACATAAAATGCTAGTTATCAGAATGAAGGTCCAAGTCTTTGATTTCAACCTGATGCTATTTTTATGGACTTCTAAGGAGAATGAGCTTCAAGTTCTGTATGCCTGCCAGGCAAAATATATAACTTCTTGCCAGTTGTTTGCAACAGTGTACTCAACAAACAAGGAAATAAACGAACCTTAAGCAACTATTCAAGTGTCACCTTAGGGGAAAAAAAAGAAGAAAAAAAAAAAAAAAAGGAAGATGGATTAGATATGTTCAGGGTTCATTTTTAAGGTTTGGATCATAGATCAATTCTTCCCATTAGCAATCTGCCCATGATACCTTCCAGTTATGCAAAACACTGCTACTACGCTACTGATAAGGCAAGGTAGGTCAAGCTTGCTTACTTAGGCAACTTTAATCTGCCACATTGCTATATATGATATATGTATATGGTAAATGGGATTACATTTATCCCCCTGCTGCATTGTAGAACTTGCTATCTGTGGCAGGATGGATTTTCCTACTTTGCAGTTAAATATATCAGTTTTTATTGTTTTCATTCTATCTAGAACTTGCAGTTTCAGGACTTTTAAAAACACAAGGTGATATCTTTTCTGTTCAGGATTTTAGCTGATGAATCCATTCTCACCTGATGTTGGGACACGACTGGATGGAGTCTTTTCAGAACATGACAGGTCACTGCCCCAATTCTGAAATGACAGTTTATACAACTGTGTCACCTTTTGGTTAGAAAACAACATGGAAAACACATATGGTTTAATTGTATGGTGAAGAACAAGACCAAATTTAAAAATAGATCCTAATTTGGTGCTTATGTAGCTCATCATAGCATCATTAAAGTTAGAAAAGACTATTAAAGTTAGAAAAGACCTTTAAGATCAGAGTCCTTCCTCCTCTTTGTGGAGTGCTGTCCAAACATTAAGTTATTTCTGGTGAAATTTTTTAGCCAAAATATACCATTTTGCCAAAGTCAAGACATATAATCTAGAAAAATTGTGACAAAGTTCCATAAGTAGATACTTTTTTGCCCTTTTGCCCTTTCTACAGCCTGGAGATATCATCTGTGACCGAGGAGGTGGTATCTTCATGTTTGAAAACCTGTAATTGTTGTAATGATATCTGCTTGCTCTGATCTCAGACCTGACCTTACTTGGAGCAGGAGGCTATACTAGGGATGTCCTGAGGATCCCCTTCCAACCTGAATTATTACGATGAATGCACAATCCTACCCTTCAGAAAATAAACAAACATAGGCCAGTGGTCTTCAAAAAGTATGATTAGTATTTTAATATTGAGACAAATTTGTCTGTTCTCCAATATAGCAGTGTAATAGGCTCTACTATCAACCATCTAGTTAAAGGCTGCCTCCAGAAGCTAGAAAAGAAAGCTGGGCTAATTTTCAGGTGAAACAGGAAGCTGCTCATATACTCTCTCTGCTATTTCTTTCCTTCACTTTATCACTTCAGAACTTATTGCAGTTGAGATTCAGTAAGTACGATTACCATTAAAAGTATATAACTAGATCTACAGATAAAAAATCCCATTTCAACATTGCAAACTATGGCTTGCTGCAACAATATTAGCTGTTTCTCTTTGTAACCCTCAAGGCACGGGAAGATTTTCATAATTTAGACAGGCACAAGGATCCCCCCAGTATGTCCAACTACATGGCTGACTTTGCTGTCTCTAATCATAGCTACATTATCAAAACTGAGCATTCCTTGCATGCCTGCAGCCATTTGTCAAAAGCAAGTTTCTGCCCCATTTCTTCAAGTCCAAAGTTTGCTTAATCTGTAGTTTGCTGCGGTAGTTGCTCATTCATTATGAAAAGTAAATCCCTTTGAGAACAGATCTCCATCACATCCTGTGCAGCTGGCAGCATATGCAATAAATAAATATGACTGCCCTCTACAGGTTAAATCTACCTGAGGACATGGAAATACAGAGGCTCAAGAACATATAAACCTTCCTTGGATCATCTGGGGATTCAGCATCCTAAATTCTCTTCCCCCTGTTGTGAGGTACTTGCAATACAAGTTAAAGATGCACTCCAGGTGACTTTCTGTAGAAATTGCACCTGATACAACTCATTTTGTCTGGCTTTTAGGACAAGAAGTGTTTAACATTTTTTACACAAGAAACAATGCAATGCAAGTTAGACTTTTCTGTCTGAAAATTGGTGATAGGTTATCACATTTATAAACTCAGAAGGATGCGCAAACAGCGAAATGGACAATTTTGCATAGCTTGTCTAAAATGCAGCAAAAGAAGCAACAGTTACCTCTGTTGGCTCACTGGTGGGAAGCACAGGAGGATTTGTGTTGTTGCTATTTTTATTTGTACTCAGGAAAGAGTTATTCTGTAACAAGGAAGAATTTAAAGTTAGTGAAATTAGGCAATAAACATATGGCACACATTATAGCAAGTGATGTCAAGACATGACATCACCAAAGATGTAGTTGTCTAAGCAGCAAAATGAGGCTCTGGATTTCGAAACTGTTTTCCATATCTTAAAACTCTGAAGCAATATTTCCTCTTCAGTCTCTTATGGTAAAAATGATATATATGTCAGATCCTGGTTAGCAGTTCAACATTCTCCTTTCCTAAGCCTTCCACAAATTACTTAGACTTTATTAGCTGTTCTGTCCCTTTTAAAGACATTGTTGTAAAGTTTGGAGAAACCTTGACATATCTTCCTGTGTCAGCAGAGAGTAATAAAAGACTGACTACTGTATGAATCACTCCTCCCTCCAAGAGAAACTGTACAAATTGCATTGTTATTTTTGTCCTCTACTAATGCAACACGCATTAAGGAAGACAGGCACATTGCATAGACTAAAAATCTTTGCAGGGATATGTAGTTATCTCAAGTAAGAGCAATTCCAGAGCAATTCTTTCCACAAACAGGTCTAACGAAGCACTAAAATCAGAAAGCATATTTAATCAATTAAAATACCCTCTCATCTTTTATTTCCAGGGTTTTATCCTAGTCTAAGTTGCCTAGATGCAAATACTTTTCCTTGGCTTTTTGGGCCTTTGCAGTCTGTCTCACCTGATGTTTTCATGGAATCACTTCCAGATAAAGTAAGAGTCTAAAACCATACTAGTAAAAACAATAAGTGGAATTTGCGAGTGTCCAATTTCAATTCATTTACTATTTTCTTTAGTCATACAGAAGGCAAAATCATAGAATCATAGGAAGACCTGTGTTGGAAGGGACCAAAAAGACCATCTAGTTCCAACTCCCTGCTGTGGGCAGAGCTGCCACCCACTGGGTCATGATGCCCAGAGCTTCATCCAAACTGGCCTTGAACACCTCCAGGCATGGGCCATCCACAGCTTCTCTGAGCAGCCTGCAAGGGACTCATCACCCGCTGAGTAAAGAGTTTCTTCCTAATACCTAATCTAAATCTAGTCTCTTTTTGTTAAACAAACAAACAAACAAACCCATAACACAAAAACAAATAAACAGAAAACCACATTACTCTTTGTCCCATCACTACATTTCTTAATGAAGGGACCCTCTCCATCCTCCCAGTTGGTCCCCTTAGGTAATGAAAGGCCACAATGAGGTCTGCTCAGAGCCTTCTCTTCTCTAGGCTGAAGAAGCCTATCTCTCTCAGCCTGTCTCCATAGGGGAGGTACTCAAGCTCTCTGATCATCCTCATGGCCTCCCCTATGGACCCACTCCAACAGGCTCATGCCTCTCCAGTTTTGGAGGCACTAGAGCTGAATGCAGCACTACAGGTGGGTCTCATGAGAGCAGAGTAGAGGGAAGGAGTCCCTCTTTTGATGCTGTCCAGAATACAATTGGCTCCCTGGAAACAGATTATTCAATTCCTCCGTACCACTATTTCTTGTTCTTTACCTCAAAGCTGAGTAGGGAAAGATACTGGCATCTGTATCTCTGACTGTTTTAAATCACAATAGGATTACCAATTCTGAAAACAGTGGCCATATATTCTTTGCAAAGGATATGAAACTTTTCTGTGGCTATGTCTGAACAGCAGCATTTTTGACTAGGGATGGACTAACAGAAAGAATTATAAAAATCCACATTATCTGGCACTGAATAAGTTCCTAGATTAATTTAATTACTGTGCAAAATGAAGTAGAATCAGTTTAACTAAACCTGATGATTTTTGAAACATGCTGATTAACAACTCAACAGATCTTCCCTTTTTAACAGGATGGATGCAGTATAGGCAAAATTGTCCTTTACGTCTTGAATAACTGTGTCCAGACCTTATAGTACAAATCAGCTCCCCAGTCTATTCAGTTCTTTGGTCTCCTCACTGAAACTGCTGAAGAAAGTGGGTCATTTACTGCTGACTGCAGGGGTCATTTCCATGTGCTGATACCTAACAACTGTACCATAAGTTCAGCAGATTGTTTTATGAAGGCAGAAGTGTCCAAAGTGCTTAAAGTACCCCTGTTAGGGGCCAGGTCACCAAAACCAGTTTTCCACTAATTCAAAGTAAAACAGATACTGGGATTTTCTGAGCCGCTATGATGCCTGAAACTCACATTGATTCTAATGGGAAAGTTAATTCAGAATATTCCATTTGGTGTTGAGCTGCCTATGTACTTCAAAAATATATATTTTCTGCTACAACTTACAACATGAATCAGCACACTGTCTATCAATATTCACTGCACAGTAAAGGGATACCAGAGAAGATACAGAAGAAAGTCTGCTCATTCATAGGTCAGCAGAGAAGGAAAGTCTTCAGCAAACTCCTACCAGACATACAAAATCCCTGCCCTTTGCGGGGAGCACAGGCATATACAGCTGCCTGATACCCAGCTTTCACAACATGAGGATATTTACCTGAGTCGGGCAGCTGAGGACAATGTCAGTGACGAAGTCAAATGAGTCAGCTTTCTGGCCTACAGGCTGCAACTAGGAGGGAAAACAAAACAAAACGAAACAAAAAAACCCACACCATTGTAGCTGTCTCAGTTCATCTTACATTTGTATAAAAGTTCTCATCAAAGGAATTTAAACACCACTTTCATATTTTTAAAAAAACTGCTTGCATTTACTGACCTTGATTTACCCAAGGCTGAAATGCTACTCAGAAGGAACGTGGCAACTGCGTAACAAAACAGCAACTCTAGAAAGAAGTTTAAAATGGGAAGTGGAAAGCTATGCTGGATCAGCTTAAACTCCAGGAGGATTTTGGCAGGCACATGAAGTTCCTTGGAATTTTGCCAGAAGGCAAGCTTGTAAACTCTGTACTCTTGCATAAAAGAGGAGACGCTAAGAATCCCTCTGTTCTTATTGCTAAGCTGCATGATGGCGTCTCTGACAAAAGACTGTTTATGTGCAGAAGATTAAACAAAATTTAAATAGAGGTACTACTTGATGATTGCAGAGCGTCGTGTTAGCTGCTAAGACATTACCTGGAAGTACATAGAAGACAGCATCCAGAATCTGACATACTGCTTCTGACTGCAATGCTAATACTCCTTCTGCACTGCAACGCTAACTAAATGGGATTGCCCAGGCAATCAATAACAACTCGTTGTTGCTAGATTTTATTTGTTTCCGAAGGTAGTAAAGCTAATTTGAATTAAAACTATTTCTCAGTGATATATTCACAATACAAGGATTTAAAACACTTTAAGTTATCCATTTTGAATTGATATACTCCATTAACAATTCTTTATTTGGTAGTTTTTCATTTAAGACCACAGAAACACCATCCTTATTAAATAGTGTCCTGACTTTCATGACAATGAGTGAAATAAACTTCAAGTTGCTCGGGTGAAATAAGGAATGACAGATCATGCACTGACAGCTCCTCTCCCTTCCCAGCAGATCTTTGGGAGTATCTGACTGGGAAAGGACAAACAAGCACTGGAGATCCATTAGCAAGTTACAGAGTTATCCAGATCCTCATTGCAACTTTCATTACAAAATTGTAATGGTAGTCAGGTCAAGCTAGAGATTGTATTGTGGGCAGAGCTTGTCACCTTACCATAGTATTCCAGAGAGCCTTGGCAAGCTGAGAATGGCCCTTCTGGCTTGGATGGAAGCAGTCAGGTGCAAAGTAGGAGATATCAGGATGCCCATCCTACAGATGAAAGCATAAGGGACATTGAAGTGCAGAAGTATCACCAAGCTCCAACTGTGGATTGCTGAGGTTGGATCAGAATCAATAACAGGAGATGCATTCTACTTGTCTTTGCCACTCCAAAAAAGAAAGTCTCATTAGTAGCTGGTGATAAACAGCATGCTTTGTCAAGCACCCTAGCTACCAGAAATTAACTAGAAATGCTTAAGCACATCCAATATCAGATCCACAAGGAAGAAGCAAAACCACAGTTTTGAATTTGATCCCTAGTCTCTCTCTAGGTTCTGTGATAAAGCTGGGTTCCCCTCCTCAGCACATCACCACATCTGGCTACCGAGTCACCATTATGCTCTTCAGTATCCTTACATGTGAATGAGTATTTTATGGATGCCATACCAGAAGGAACAGAAAGAACCCACCTGCCTTCTCACAGTTGTGTTAGTTATACAAGTTTGAGAGGAGCAAAAAGCAAGAAATGTCCAAGAGAAGGCTGCCAAACTGACCAGGTATACCAATACAAACTCCTTTATGAACACACCTTTACTTTAATACAGATACTGGAACATCTTAAGGAAGTGAAGATTGGACATTAAAGTAAATTGGCTTCTGTGTAATATTGAGAAAAGAAAAAATTTAATTATAAACTCTTGAAATAACATCTTTTTGGTCATCACAGTCTTTCCTCAAAACTTGGCCAGGTTTAGATTCAGTGTGTTTGGGCAAGCTACAACCAAAATTTGAACCTATATTTGATCTTTTGCCAAGTTCAGATGCAGAGTTTTTAGTTCAGAAACTTCTGAATGTTGTGGGAGATAAGAAAAAACAATACCCTGAACTTTCTTAAAATCTGAATTAATGCTCGTGAGATTATAAAAAAATGTTCAGAAGTATTTTTCTTCTTCTACACTTCCTTCTGTCTTTCTCACCTTAGTACCAAAGCCCCTGAGAACAGGTTTTCACAGGCGCCAGCTCCATGAAAAATTAAAGCCTGTTTTTCCTTCCCCTCCCCCTGTGAAGTTTTCAACCAGTTTTACAAATGTAAGAGCTTTGTCTGTAGCACTAAATGAATTTTTCAAAATTGTCGCTAGCTATTACTGGCATTTGCAGGATCACACTGGTTCAACAATACCAGTGCAATCCTTATTCAATATTTTGCCCCATCTGTATTTATTCCAAGTGAGATGAATAAGTACAGTTGTATCTGAAAATCAGCAAGTGGAGTTTCAGTTTCTGAGAAGGTTTGGGTCACTTCTCAGATTCATAGTTTGCTGGGAGGTTATGGAAGTTGCTCAAAGAGCTGAAATATAGTTGCCAATAATAGGAAAGATTTACTACTACCTCTTGTTTGTATGTAAACTTATTATACAGATTCAGACAGAAAGTGAAGTTATAGGACACAAAGTAGTTGTCTCCAGTGAGTAGTAACACAGCAAGGTTGCTTTAAGAATTGTAACTTAATATCTCTGTATTTTATTAATCATGTTGTATTTTGAGAAAGAAAAATATTTACATAACTTGAGTACACACATAAACCAACATCTTCACTCAGCTTTTGATTTGTTTTCTGAAACAGCCACTCATATTGACAGCACAATATGTAAAACAAAGAACTGATAATCTAATCTACTGGGCCAAGAGGCAACAAGTTCTAGTAAGAAAAGCACATGACAAGCAGAAATAATTGTGCATACTGTCTCTAAAGGCGGGATGCCCACACTTAGTTCTTAGCATACAGAAGTCTCCATTTATACCATACCTGACCAAAAGGAATCTTGGAATTTTGGAGGAAAGTCTGGATGACCACTGTGAAATTGTCATGAGTATCGTATCTGCCAGACTCCACCAGTCTTTGAATACCAAGCTGCAAGAAACAAAAAACAGCCACCAATTTTCTATCAACATCTGTGCATAACAATTTTTTGTTGTTTTTTTGATTTTTTGTTTGTTTGTTTGTTTTCTTAGTTTGTTTTTGAGGGAAAAAAAAAAAAAAAGAACTAAGAATCAGGAGGAAGATTTGCTTGTTAATTGAAATAACCAGAGACATTGGTAAAAGGTAAGTTTTAAAAAAGTGGCTAAGAAGGCTGAAACACAATACTGCAGTTGTTTGTGAGAAACAGGCTTTTGGTGACTGAACTCCTACTTATCCATCTGCATTAGGAAATGGTATTTTTCTGAAGAATTGCTTCTAATTTTCATCCTATGGTGTTCTGAATAACATCAAGTTACCTTCTTCATAACTCATATGGCTCTCCCAAGTAAAGTATTCCTATGATTTGCTATAAACAGACCATTTGCTTGGTAGTGAAGAGTTCATCTCCACTGGAAGCAAAGTAACTGCACCATTCTTGATAAACATACCTGGTAAGCTCTAATGGCTTCCCTCACCATTGTTAAGTTTTCTGAGTTTTCTTCTCCTGTGAGAACACAACTACACAGATAACTGGGGAGAAGTTAGAGAAGAAAACAAGAACAAAGAGAATTAGAAACATGAGATTGCAAAAGTGGTTCTTTGCCACCCGACATCCTCATGACATGGTGGTAACAAAGACATTTGTACATTTTTGTATCTGTGAAATGTCTTACTGTCCTTGCCATTGCATACAGTTTCAAACCTCAGTCTTATTTACTGCCTCATATGAATTGTACTGTACACTGTGCTAAAGCCAATTTGTTCCATTCATTACATCCAGGCATCCAAAGTCCCTGCATCCTGAAACAGGTGCATGCCATTCCCTCTGGGACTAGCAAAGATACCATTAAAACATACTGGTTATACATTACCTCTGAGCTGTTATCTTTTCAGGGCATCAGTGTGAGCAAAGAAAGTAATTATACAATGCAATAAAGCTTCTGAAACAAGAGATATCTGTCTACTCTGCAAATAAACCACATTCCCTCATAATGCTAGAAAATCTAAATACTTTTGGAATTCAACTCCATCTCAAGGTATCCTGTATCAGTAACTTTAATCCAAGCACACTGAAGCATAGTTTATATTGATTATGACACAATTTAGACCTCATTTCAACCAAGCTTGAATTTACCCCTAGTTCTGTTAAGCCTTCCAGGTCCATATAAAATCCTAGTGCAGATAGGACTTTCCAACCAAAATCCCATGCAAGCTCTGCTACCTTTGATGTAAACACTGGATAGGCATGTTCTCTCCAGTGTTAACCTAATCAGCCTCACACAAAACTTCTGCTTCCTAATAGTAGCTCAAAGTGCCTTATTTTATATAACTGTAACATCAGAAGTCCTTATATGCCTCAGCTATCTAAATAAATAACCTCATCACTGCTTGGTGCAGCTCAGTCCTCCAGACTCAAATTTGATCAAGGAACATCTTTGTACCACTGTACAACACTGGTCTGATGTTACTTTTATTCTACAGCCAAAGAGTAAGGAGCTGCTTGAAATACTTGCAGCCAATGAAGTGAATGTACTTAAGAGCCTTTTAGGTCAAAGGAAACTACACTGGGCAGGATCACATCAGCACTGGATGTATTGTCTGTAGGACTGTTGTGCTATGGACATATTTCTATACAATTAAGGAAGCATGGAATGAGAACTTTATAATCACAAACAGTAAATTCAAGTACAAAAGAAAGTCAAACAAGTCTTACTCTGACAAGTAAGTGGGGCACTGAACTTGAGTGTCCACAAACAACTGTCTCATACTGAGGATGTCCATTACTCCAACTAAGCTCACTAGAGCTTTTGGTACCTGAAAGGAAAGTCAGACTTCAGCTTAGGAGGAACTACATATATAGCCCATAGTGCATTCATTTTACCCCCAAAGCCCAGCCATTTAACACTCCTTCCCTTTCTCTCTATATATCTCTCAACAAAATCACTCACAAAACTTTGACTCAGCTGTTGAAATCTTTCTGGTACCATAATTGGATATCACCGTCTCTCACTTTAGATAGCATCTCACTAGTCTTAGATAATACAGAAGCATTACCTTCTGTGAAAGTCAGTTGAGTACATTTGGTACCAGAACAGAAAAATATCAGTAGAGCTAGTAACATTAAATTACACACCAGCTCAGGCTAGAATGCCAGGACAATTTCACAGTACTTGCCTGTTCATGCAGAATATCAAGAGTTTCTTGAATTCTACTGGTGAAATTTACAGCTGAGTAGTGATGCTGATAGAAGAAGAAAAGAATAGATTATTGTTAAATGGGGACACAAGACATTTGGGTTGGGAGAATAATTCACTTCCTTTTCTGCCATACTCCTGTGGTCAAGAGAAAGTTCTTGCTTCTTTCCAGTTATCAATTAATCTAAAACATAGGAAGACTTGGTGAAATTTTGGGTTTAAAATACAGCCTTGTTGATCAACAGCAAGTTCCCTATACTTAGCATCACCCTACGCTGTGAGTTATGAAGTGATGACAGCCATTGCAGAATTGGATTGATGGCAGTTCAAAACAATATAATTTTTTCTTGGATGTCTAATGATGCTTTACTAGCAGTGGAGCAGTTACCAAATTGGCTCTTCCATCATGGTCAGAGAAGACGAGAAGTGTTTTTACCCTGGAGTACACCAGAGAAAACATAACCATCTTACTTGGTTGCCAGTAGCAGTTTGTGTATCAGGGCAGTGTCAGCAGTGATCTTTATCAACACATACAGCAGCTCTATTAGAACACTCACTATCACCCCTGTGAAGGCTCTAAGAATCTGTGCATTTCTACACTGACATCACAGTCCCCCTATACTCTTTGTCAACCAGTCCTGCTACTCACAGGGTCTTTGCAATAGTTGCATAGATCATTGCCTCCAATAAGCACTGTTATGATTTTCCAGTCAGCATTGAAGTCAATTCTCTGTGAACAAAGCAGAAAACGTCTTTGACTGATATACATGTAGCATCCTTGTGGATGGGTCTATCATGTGAAGCAGCACCACTTTCTTTTCATGCTGCAAGATTAGAGTCCCAGACAACTTACAGAATCAGTCTTCATTAGTCTCAGGAGAGCTCTTGCTTGGGCTGGTAAGTGCCTATGAAGAAAAACAACCAGTGAGTGAAAGAAGCACTTCTGTGGAGATATCTAAATTAATGCTCTTTGGACACATTAAATCTATGAGTTGTCAAATATCAGGAGATTTAAATGATGATGCAGTATAATCCTCCTTTTTCAGCAACCAAATTACATGTTCACATTGTTATGAAAAGTCAACAATAAATTGAACCTGAGCACAGATTTTACTCAAGTTCAGTAATTAACATGGGGCCATAACTTTAACCTTCTATTACACTGCTTAGCTGCTAAAGCAGATGGAATGCAGACACAGCAATATGCTTGTTAGCTGGTGGCCTATTTAGAATTGAACTGCTATCAGCCTATTCCTCATGGACTGAAATGACAAGGGAATCCCACGTCCCAGTGGGATCTCTTAAGCAAAGTTTATGCACACACCACAGCTCACCCATCGCAAAGCTGAAGCATTTAAAAGTTCACTGTGCACATCTTCCTTGTCTCTGTAGCTTGCACCCCAAGTCAATATTTAACTTCCAATTGCGTAAAACAGTTTTGTGCACTTTACCTTTTTAAGTGAATTAAAAATCCAAGTAATTTCCAAGATCGCCCACGCAAGCTGAGATGACAGCCTCGCTGTTTTCCAACAGCCATGAAAGCACTCTCTTCTATATACACATATATATACAAATATACATGCTTTTGTACATATACATATCTTCATTTGTATGAATGTGTACATAAAATTGCCATTATTTCTGGGTTACCTAGGCTCAACATTTCGACCTTGCTTAACTGCCCTGACATGCTGATACTCAAATATGCATACAAAAGAGCAAAGAGAATGTATGTGGAAACGTTGGCCTTCCAGGCAGCTCTGGAGCATGGGATGAGCTGCATTCCCCTCCAGATTCTTATTAGAAACACTTAAGAGACTGCATATCATTTCTGGGAGCACATCAGCTGACATTAATAGGCATGATGCTTGTTTTGTATAGTAACCAGAGCTTAGCTCTCTTTTGCAATGCTGTATTTTAATGTAGGAACAGGACTCTCACCACCCTCCTTCAAATGAATACTGATCTAACACTAACATATGAGTATTTACTGGGGAATGAGCCCTGTCATGCATCTACTTGGGACACAGACATCACACACATAAAAGCTCAGTTCATCATTATCCTTGTCCAAAGTCATACCCTACTTATTTATATCCCAAAGATATCACAAGTCACTGGTGGTCAAAATTTCCTTCTGCTCTCACTGTGGAATGCCTAAGCTAGGGCATCAACTTCAGTACTGATGCAGAAGAAAACATCCCTTATGGAGCTGACACTGCAACAACTTTAGTTTCTCATGTAGTCACTAAAGTGCTGATCCATCCTGAGCCAATGTAGTCAGTAAGACTGAACATCTTGAATGATGTGGCACTACTGCTTCCATTCTTAAGCTGTAGTCTCTACCAAAATTAGATCTTAAGCAACAGAAGCAGTCTGCTGATGTGAAATACAAATATTCACAGCTCCTGTCACCTGTTCTCTCCTCTCAGTCTTAAGTTCTTAACCTCATCATCTGAAATCAGAGATGTAAGCCAGGCTCTGTTTCAGCAACAAGTCTCAGATATGTCCTTAGCTCCAGCATGCACTTAAGCACATTGACAATGAATGGGGGCGGGCCCAACAAAGTTTTGCCTACACTGCTATATTCACCAAACAGCTCTTCAAGGCAGCTACTGATTTCACTGGAATGAACTGTTGCATCTGCTTTTCAAAAGCTGGTAAGGGTACAGAACTACCCGCTTTCAGGCACGGCCCAGTACCTCTGGAAAAGAACTCCTAGACTGGCAACTATAAGTATGAACCAGGCAACAACTCTGAAATATCAGTGTTATCTTTCTTTCATGGTCTGTTTTTCCCCCTGGATCATAGAAGCAGGGATATTTACAAAACATGTCTGCAGAATACAGACAGCTCCACTTCCTTATCCAGCCCAGCTGCTTATATGAGGGGAAGATTAATTGATATAAATGAAATAGATCATTTTCCTTTAGACTAACATCCATCCCCTCATTTCGTATTGCTACCAAATAACTACCTAATAGTAATGCCTTGGTCAATACTGACACAAACTTCTTTAAGTAAAGTTGGTGACTTTACAAGTTGTATATCCTGTTTCAAGTTCTTCCCCCGCTCCAAAATTACAAATAAACCACAACACCTGTTTAGGATTTAACTGATACAAAATGCAAGGCAACCACTATTCTCATTTTTCCCTACAACAAGCAAAACCTAAAGTTATTCTGAACATATGCCGCCTATAGCAGCATGTTGATAAACTGTCCGGAATGGCTGAATCAGAGCCTTAACTCTTCCAAGTGTTTCACCGATACATAGAAACAGATAATTCAGTCACTGTTAGGAAACAAAATCCATTCCTTCAAGTATGGGGGCTGTAGGATATGTCAGAGCACCTAGCAGGCCAGAAAACACAGCCATTTATTGAGATAACTTGCGTGAGTCAAAAGCTACTCAGAATCTACAGGAGTAATAAACCATACCTGATAAACATTAATAATTATTGCTCAGATATAGCAAACTCCCAACTTCTCACTTTGCTACTGAATTTCACTTCCCAAACCTCTTTAGGAAGTGAGAGAAATTTTTCTTCAAACAAACATAAGATTAAATTACTCAGTTCTGGGTAATATCAGCTAAGAATGTCAAACCCAGGCAAGATCTTGCCAGAACCCATGCCCAAACTATGACCGAATTCCAGCAGCCTTCTGTTTTGTTAAATAAGCAGCACTGGTTCTTTCAATCAGAAGCCAGGGGTTTCTAGGATAAGCAGTGTATAAAAAGCTCAACTTCTGCTGTCTCCCAGGTGTGACTAAAAGCAAAGAACCAAAGTCTAACAATTCCTATTGCGCCGGCAAAACTGGCTGAACTGCACGAGGTCTGCAATGTACCAAAACCTGCGTAAGACTATCAGCAGTTCTCCTTTGAGTCCAGACTGTGGATAATTTTCCCCTTCTCTGTTGACCACTTTTGCCATCTACCCAGATGCCTGAGGTCACTTATGGGAGATTTTACCTACTTTTTATCCTAGTAACTCTTTACTGATTCACTGCATGTTCATTTTCTGAGAACGCTCTCAGAAATGCATGGACAAAGACACAGACAAATCACCAAAAAATGTCAATTTCTTGTTTGTGGATTTCATAACCAGGACAGCTGGCTGCATTTGAAAGCTCAGGTATGAAATAAGCCCAAACATTTAATAAGTTTTGAACTAATTTTCAGCTCCAACTAGACTGGTTTTGCTTGCTGTTCAGAGCAAGTTGTGACAGTGTTTGAAACAGTTGAAAGTGAATTAGATGAAGCATCCATCACCTACAAGGGTAAACCAAAAAGCTACATACTCAGCCTGTGCTCCTGGAACCGCCTGGTTAAGGAATGCGTTTGGGTCATTCTCACTCCCTGTGCCAGTGGAATAGCCCTCGATCTTAGCATTGAACTCTCGAAAGATATCTGAAAAAGACAGACAGCAATGAAGAGAAAATGACCACATCTGTTCCCTGCATACAGGGACTGGCACACACCAACACTGTCACAGTACAGCTGCTGCAGCCTCCAGTCTGCTTTTTCCATTCACAAAACAGCAGCAAGAATGAATTGATCTTCAGAGGGACTTCAGCCAGTTAGGCCTGTTTTGCAGCTGTGCAACACTTCACACTACTGATAAATTTAAAGAAGAAAGCCTCAGACATGGTGCCAGTGAATTCCCACCACATTCTTAATGCCTCAGCTGTACTTTCCAGCAGGAGGTAGACAGAAATTCTGAGATGACAGTGAAAACAGTCTCAGGGTAAACTATGAAAGCCACCTTAGCCTATAAGTCTCAATTTTACCACATTGTAATGAAGGATTTGTCAAAGGTCATAGCACCCAGTGAATCAATTAATTTCTTATAATCAATAAGACATTCTAATTATATTCTTGTTGCATTCTGCTTGTAATAAAGGGCAGCACGCAGAAGGATGGTTTATTGGCTCACTTCATATAGAAGTTTGTTATTCCAGTTTGTTAATCCAAACTAAAACTCCAGTGGTTTTGCATTAACAATAGCCTGAGTTATGAGAAGCAGCTAATTTCAGTGAAAACAAAATTATTCCCTGCAAGTCACATGTATGCTAGCTAGCCAGATTTACTAAAGAGGTCTGCTTTCTGCAATCATTTCTTTTTGGAAAAAGACGTGGTAGAATATTTATTAAAAACAAAATTTAATTGCACCTCGAGCATTTTCATGGTAGGCTTATTTAGAAATTCAAACAGACTTCACCAAGGACTTTGAGAGGGGAGAGGGGAAAGGAAGAAGGAAATTTGTAGCTGCTCCTCAGCTTCTGTGATGGAACAGACATATTCATTAGTCCTAGGATATTGTTTCTTTGAAAGATAAGTTTTGCAAACTACTTTCAAGTGGCTTAGGGACATTTCAACTTATCACTAATCAGCACATTCCCTCTCTCCAGTCTTTCGAGTTAGATCTGCAGAAGCATTTACTTACTAGGCAGAGTTGTTACGTTCTCCAGTGAGTCATCCCCTCCAATACTAAAGTGAGAAAGAGAAATTCAAGTTGTTCATCTTTTAGCTGGATACAAGCAATAAGGAAAGAGAAAAACTACTACGCATTATGAGAAAAAGTGAAGGGTGATTAATTTGACAACTATCAGTCTGTCATACAACAAGGAAAGGACAGAAGTGAAGTGCTATTGAGGAGAACATGGCTGAGGTTTCAGTGGGAGAGTCAGCTGTCAGAAGGATTTATGTGCATGCTGCATACGGGCACAGCCAGTCATTATGAAATAGCAGAAAAGTGTGTGAGACAGCTACATATTTAAATGATCAAGCCCCAAAGTGCTGCAGACTTCAGCAAAAATTTCAAGACCAGTTCCAACCTCAAGAAACCACTGTAAGGCAGCACCAAGCAGCCAGTCCCTTCAGTGACAGAGGGCTGTAGCAGCAGCTCCATCATCACTTTTCCTGCTTCCTTCATAAGAGTGTGTTTTCTCCAACTTTTCAGTTGTTGGGTCACACTCTGGTGGCTGATGTAGGGGGGTTAGGACAGCACAAAATTACTTCATCGGTGTCAGCTGAGCTACCTCATCATCCGACCTCTGGTTTAGTCTTCTATGATTTTGTGTTGTATGTGGTAAAAGTTCTGCAGTTACACTGTTTTCCATTATCCTACAAATAGTTCAGAAGCGTCAAACACTGAGAAGATCTTCCCAAAGCAACAAGGCCTAACTTGCTTGTACCAGTGATTTTGCTCCAATGCTGCGGATCTCCAACTCTGTCCCACCATAAAGCTACAAATTCACAAGGAGCTGAAGATGAAAGTAAGAGAGCAGTTAAAAGGCTTGCTGCTGAAGATCTGTTGCTGAGAACATTTTGTGTAAAGCTGGCTTTGTGACAGACACTGGTTTGATACAGCTTCCAAAGAAACACTAGCCAGAAAAGTTAACCTTTCTCCACTTTCTGACAGCTGAAAGCCCCAGAAAACATGGAAGATAATATTTTCCCAGTAAAGAAGACATCTCCTTGTCATCTTGCCTAAAGACTTACCTCCATGACAATCCACGGAATTGAGTAGCCAAATCCATGAGACTGTATGATGCAATTCCTGTACCAGCCTGGACATTATTTTTCATTAACACAAAGAAATTAAAACACAGTTACTAACACAATAGTTATTCATATATAGTCATTTTATTTACTTTTGAATGCATCTCTTCAAAAGCTTTAGAAAGCATCTGGCCTCCTTCCTGAAAAATGCATCAATAGTTTTTTTAATTATTTACAAACATCATATTGTGTATGATGCACAAAATAAATGAGAGAGCAATGAAACAAAGGCCTTCTTCTCATGAGTCTGGGTGATCTGAGTAACTCATTTACATTGTGTTACTCAAGAATGATGAAAAGATCTCAAAGTTGTAAAACTTTCAGGGTAATTATAAGCAACACTACATTAATTCATCACAGAAAACAAACATCTGAGAAGGAAGTCTTGTAATACATTTACACTAATTTGAAAAATATTGTGCTAAGTAGATTTATTTATAGTAGTATTAGAGAAAGAAGAAAAGCACTCTGCATTTTCAATGAAGAAAGGGGCAAGCTGACAATGACATCTCTCTTTAACAAAACACAAGAATTTAGAAGCAGAGTTTTTGCCAGCTGTGATGCTACAGCCTTATGCAAAAACGGGACACCAGGCAGTACCTTAGGACAGCACAATACCAGGCAGATTATTTGCTGTTACTTCAGATTAAGCCAAACTAAGACATTTAGTTGGATATTAGGAAAATTTTCTTCTCAGAAAGAGTGGTGAGGCATTGGAACAGGCTGCCCAGCACAGGACGCTGGTGGATTCACTATGCCTGGAGTTATTCAAGAGATGTGTAGATGTGGCACTGAGGGGCATGGTTAGCAGGCACGGTGGGGATGACTGATGGTTGGATGCTCTTAGTGGTCTTTCCCAACCTTAATGATTCTATGGCTCTCTCCTCTAAGTGAGCTTTATTGAATTAATTGAAGACTGGTATTCAGGAAAAAAAATATTCATGTGCCAAATGCAGTTCAGATAGCAATGTACAACTGCTCCTTCTACAAAAACAGATTTTATTACCAGTTTCTAAAGACTATACTTAGAAGCAGAAACACATGCAGGATCTTAGATACTTATAATATGACAACTGCAGCTAGATACTATCTTGCATTTGTCGACATTACAGAGCTTGCACTGAAATACTGCTATTTATTTTGGTAGCCTCCTGCATGTAGGAGTTTTGGCAACATGCCTGCCAGAGAGTTGTAAAGGCTGCATCGTTTGTATGCACAATATCTTAGCTGTTAAGGTTCACATTCAGAGATCCTGTACTTATGTCTTTCTGCCCAGTATTTCCTTTGAGCTGGTTGTAAAGTTTCAGCTTTTTGCCAGTAGAAAAACATTATGGATAATGATGTTACATAAATTTAGTATACCTGGATATTCTTTCCAGCCTACCAAAGATAACCATCCTCAACAAGATCTACAACTTGATAAAGAAACTAGGTATGAGTTAAAACAGACAAAATAAGAAGACTATCTTCTGAAATTGACAAAGTCAGACACTTGCACCCCTTCACATCCACATCTCGTTAATGATAAATTTAATAAAATGCTGTTATCCTACATTCCTTAACCACACATTATTATTACAGAAAAATAAGCCCGGCAAAAGGACAAGTTCACTAATCTGATCCTGTTGTGAAAAACCTTGACACACTGTAACCTAATGCTTTTGTTAAACCCTATTAGTTTCAACGGGGTGGAATCTTCGCTGTCTCTGACTCAGCAAACCTTTAAGCACCTCTTAAAAGGATTTGCCTGTATTTTTGCCTGTGTTTAAAATTATGTGAAAATATGCGTGGGGGGAACACGATGCTGGAGAACTGATACCTTTCTTGCTTTAGCTGCTGGGGCTATTATCATTGTGAGTGAATGAATCTTTACTTCTAGGTAAAACAGCTATTTCCCTTCCACTGGTGAAGGCAAATGTTTGTAGTTCCACCAAGAGAACAGTAAAAACACTGCCTTCTTACCGTCAAAGAATCCCCAAGGGCTGCTATTATTTTCACATCAGCTGGCTTTAGGGAATGCACTGCAAAGGAAAGAGATGTAATTGAAACTGGATAGAGAACAGCCATGGTTTTTCATCCCTGCATATGTAAAACATGCCATCATGCAATCTGATGCTCAGCCACATTGCTTTTGCAGTACTCAGGTCACTTAACAGGAGCGCTTTCTAGCTCATCTTGAATGGCTGTAGCAGCAGTATCTGCACAATATCCAGTTTTCTCAGTAGGTAACATCATTACTGGAAAGACAGAAGAGCAAGGACCAAACAACAATAATGTGGAATCAATATCCATCACCAAGATGATAAAACAATGCAATACTAGATAAAGCAGAAATTTTATGTTAAAAGCTTTAAGAAGGCATAGAAGGTCTAAGGAGAAGACAACATGAAATGAACTGAAAAAGTGAATGCTGCTATATCTGAAAACAAGAACTACCTGATGCTGGAGAAGGGGAGGATGGAGACCTGTCCTCACATAGCAGCTGACTTCCGTAATTCTAAAAAGAAGAAAGATGAGTAACATTTGGCTAGGAAATGCAATCGGTATTAACTAGGATCTCCGTAGTAGAGGCCAACTGGATAAACCAGAGTATGTTTAACTTGTAAGTAAACATATAGGCCTTGGTTGCCCAATTTGATAGACAGATTTAGTGTTGTTTGGATTAGCATCCTGTACTGATAACTGTGCTGTCTGAGGATGTGTTCTTACAGCTTTTCTTGATGTGTTTTGCCTAACTCAAGCAAGTACTTTCCTGTTCTGTGCCCTTTGGCCAAAGACTGATTTCACCTGAAGTGCAAAGCATGATTCATGACTATACAGGAACAGATGCAGTGAAATGCTGATGTTGACACTTACTGGAGTTTGGTTAGGGTACGTGTAATTACTGTTTTTGTATGTCTTCAGGAATGGCTCAGCCTGCAAAATGAGACAATCTGAATCAATGCAAAGCATCAGAAGAAACTTCCACTCATCAAGATTCCATTCTTAGATCCCTGTAGATGATTAGCAGCTTGATGCAAACAAACCCCAGGGATAAAAAAAAAAAAGAAATGGCGTTTTAAAAATCCAATAACAGGGGGACTGTTTTTAGACAGCTGAATTTACAGAATGCTCTCAGGACCCTGCTGCATGTGATTAGTAAGAGGCCTGCCATCAAAGGCACTGCCCAGGCTTGTGCCAGCCAGAGGCAGTTTCAACAACTCTCAGCCAAGCTAGGCTGACTGGTGTCAGTGCTGTTCCATTTCCCCTGGTGAAGCTTTCATTCAGCATGGATAACAGGAAGGCAAAATACTCTATCCTAGTGTTTTGGCTGAGGAAGTTGGCCCTCAGGTCTCCATTTTAAGCTGTCAACTGCTTATACTGCTACCAGTGGCAGTGGCACAAACTATGCAGGGATGGGACACTGCTTACTTCTAGGAACTGGTGAAAGCTCACCCAGAGTCCCAGCCACCTCCAGCACCAGTGCACAAACAGAGATACCCTTGCAATTTACCTCACTTGGACATTTGAGGACAATTTCATTTTCCATTTGTTGGTCATCTGTCTTCTTCCCTACAGGTTCCACCTGTGAGAAAATGAAAGGTGGGAGAGGAAGGCACAGGCAAAAAGAAAATAAGCATCATAGAAAAGAGGGTAATTCTGCACTACCAATCACTAGAAACCACCTCTGCAATAGAGCAAGGCAAATGCCATGTGCTGCACTTGCTCTGTCCGCACCACTGACTGCTGCTTTTCATACTGGGTAGGCTAACCCCCCATGTGCTACCAGTGCAGCTGGATGATCAGTGCCAGGTGTGCAGAATCTTCCAAGAGAAGCTGAATACTCATAGCCTTAATGTGTCCTGGGATTAAATGTTTTGATATGACTGGCTTAACAGTTGAAGTGACTTTTCTTCATGTGAATGCCCTTTCTTTTTATAAACGTAATTAACAGTTCAGAAGAGAGAGGGCTAGCTACATAGCTGCTCCTCAGGGTTCTTTTTGCTGCCAAGAGCAGGTTGAGGAAGACAAGGAGTGACAAATACAGCTTTAAAATCTTACCATGTTGTTCCACAGACCACGTGCAGCCTGTGAATGAGACTTTTGGCTGAAGTGAAAACAATCTGGAGCAAAGTATGAATTGTCAGGAAATCCCTCCTAGAGAACGAGATAGGTACCATCACAGAGAGCAGTAAGTGTGCAATAAGCCATGCACTATCCCTTTTGAAAAATCCCAGCTGACTTCAGACTAAAGGAGCTTCAAGGGCCTGTGAGACCAGAAGAACCAAACTGGATCAGAGAGCACTGGTAACTCAAGACTGAGAAGCCTTTTAAGCATTTTTAATATGTGATTTCCGAAGTATTAAGGAACAGGCCACTATGACTCTGAAAACAGAATACTTGTGCACAGACATTGATCGTATTCTTTATTTCCCCTGAGACTCACACATAGCCTTTCATGGAAAGTGGGCTTTTATAATAGAAGTCTTAGCTTTACCAAAGTACTGAACTTTTTTTACCAAACCACAGAACTTTGCAATGTGTGGGGCATGTAGGATGAATGCTCCCCAGTTAATACTTTGAACTAAATATCTACTGCACAGTTGTTTGTAGTTGCAGAGGAGTTGACCCAGTGCCTAAAACAGTGTCATCCCATTACCTCCAAGTTATTCCATAAGCGTTTTCTGCAATTTGGGATGTTATCTTAAATGAATATGATAATTATTAGGCCGGAATTCTGCTTTGTCACATTTACCAAAAAGAAGCTAGTACAACTTTGAAAAAAATCAAACTGCACCAGGATTTAGTGAGAGCTTTGTTTTTATTTACCTGTGTTTTGGGCATGCTGATATGAGTCAGAAAAGGCTGTACAACCACTGTAAAGTCTTCCCTAGTGTCATATCTTCCACTCTCCACTAACTCACGGGTCCTCTCCTTAAAGAGTCCAAGAAAAAATATTGTCACTGTTCGTTCTTTTACATCCAGTTCACTGGCCTCTCATTACTGCACAGCTTCATCCAGGGATTCCCAGTCCCTTGAGCAGAGGCCCAGACGTAGCCACAGTGATCAGCCTATACCAGACAGCAAACACAGAGATCATTTAGGGAGTCTCAATCCAAGCTTCGTTGCAGTGAGGCAGCCCATGGGTCATGACCTGAGTGGCACAGGCAGGTGACCTGCTCAATAATCAGATTTTCTCTGAAAAGATGTTCTAGAACCATTGAAGCATTTTCTATTTGGCTGCTATCCCTTGCCTGAAGTTCATTGCTGAATTATCATGTTCTTAGACTTAATCTCATCTCAAACAAGGTAAGTGATCAAGAAACAACTGGCACTCTGACATACTCTGCTTTCTACGCTTCTTTAACAGATTTTTCCTCATCTGTTTTGTTTGTTTGTTTGTTTTAATTTTTAAAATTATTTTAGCAAACCAGAATTGTAAAGATCTTGAACTAGTTCCCATCTCCCCCACTAGCAGTCCACCCCCTTGCTTCTCCCCTCCCCCTTTTTAGTTAAATCACAACTACACATACAATTAAAGTGAGTGCAAACTGCTTTCCAGTCCAAACATTCCCTGCTCTGTGGTCACTTGGGTAAGTCCCTTTCCATTGACCTTGCTATTATTAATAAACATCTGTTTATTATTTGCAGGGAAAAAAAACAAAAAAACAAAACAAACAAAAAACACCCCTATTTCTTGGGTGGAGAAGAACAGAAGGATGACATTAAACCTGTAAAAGTAAATAAGCAAATAGGAAAATGCATGAGCCTTACCTGATACCTTTTGTTGAAGTAGACCAACTGCTTATACTCACTGGAATTGTCATCATAGTTCAATACACAGGGGCATAGCATCCTGCAGGATGAGAACATCACACTGGGACCCAGCTGGTCCTTTTCCCTTTTGCTAGCTGAAAGGCTGCACAGTTAAAAAGCTCCTCTGAGGGGCAATTTTCTGACTGCTCAATCACAGCACAGAGCCTCATTTCCAAGTATCTGCACAGCCCCAGCTCTTGAATTGAAACATGTTTATTAAGGATTTATGAACATAAGGAAAAGGCTTCATGTGAACAAAGAGCCAGCAAAGAGAGAGTAGCAGATAGAAGCAACCATGTCTTGACCAGAGGCCCTGTGGCACCTGTTGCCCTGCTAAAGAGACTGAGGGTTACCTCTAGCAGTAACAAGGCAGGAGTAGAGCTGCTTGAATTGAATTCCCACTCTTCCAGTGGGTAAGAATAGGTACTTTAAACTCAAACTATGGCATGTGGAGGCTGGTACAGCATCAACAGATGCCCAAAGGGATGCTGGAGTCTTCATTCTTGAAGAGACTCAGCACTTTCCTGGATGCACGTGATTTTTTTCTTCTGCTGCTCCTCCTTCCTGGGTATACCTCAGTATTATTTAATAAACCCAAATGAAAACAAATAACTCATTTTAAATATCCTGTAGTTTGGTAATAGTGAGTCAATCCTGAGAGAGCTCTTAGAGTAATACCCCGTATAGGGATGTAGTGGATATATATCTGTATCCCTACCTCCAAACTTGACTGAATAGAGAGCAACTAATAAAACAACATGCATCTGCTCTACAGAACATCTATATGAAAAATAAAATTAACAAATAGCATTTTCAAAAGTACGTTAGTAACACAAGCAAGACAAAATTATTGAAGATGCAATCTCTTTTTAGGTTATTTACTGCTCTCAAGGTCAAAAAGCCTTTCAAGGTCAAAAAGCCTTTTCCATGGAACATGGCATTTGTTATTCCACACAGGCTCTGCTGTAAACTTGGCATGCAGTCAGTCAGATACATGTTAAATTCAGTGTGCTCTTCAAATGATGAGGTTATATGTATTTTTGATACAATCTTACTGTCTTTGCTAACTGTCCTTGACCAATGATTAGGATCTTGAGATCTACATGCACTGGACTCTGTAACCTTTGTTAAAAAGAAATGGCAACTGGATATTAGAAGCACATTAAATTTAAAAGCTGGTTGTTTTTGTTTTTTTTTTTTCCCTATCAACTCCCACACTACAACCACCCTAAATCATACTGAGAGAGTTGCATTTACACTTCTCCTGGAAAAACATCTTATTTCATGGGACCTTCCAGGTCTCTGAACCAGCCCAGTCAACAGCAGCAGGTTCCCTTGTGAGGGTAGTGATTTGGTGGGATGAATTCAAGGCAGATGTTTCAGGGAAGCAGCTGGATACGGGAGGCCCTGCAGTTCTTCTGTGGCTCTGGCCTCCAAGAATCTCTTGCACCCTGTGCTGCCTTATAGAATCATAAAATGGCCTAGGTTGAAAAGGACCTTAAAAATCACCTAATTTCAACCCCCCTGCTGTGGCCAGGGATGCCAACTGCTAGACCAGGCTGCACATCACAAGCTTCTTGACCTAAGCAGCAGGAAGAGCAGTGGCTGCCTACACTCACAGGACAAAGCTATTCTGCATGTCTGTCTAAAAAAACAGGTATTTCTTGCTTTTCCAAAATCAGACAAGCCCTGCCAGGAGCAAGTCTAGGGGGACACAGCAACCCCCTCTTGAGTCACCATGAGAGCTTGCTAAAGCACAGACCTGACACGCAGTGCTAGATTGGCACTGACCCAGGAGGATTGCTCAGCCGAATAGCAGAAGGTGGTATGTCTTGAGAGACTGACTAACAGGGAAACTAATAACCTCTATAATAACTAATAACCTCTAACAGTCTCTATAATGAGATTACAGAGATCAGAAACAATGGAAGAAAGAGGGAGAGTTAAGATTGTAAAGAAGTTAATCTCCAGATTAATGTGATCAATTTAAAAACAAACAAAAAAACCTGACATTCTTGGTGGTAGGTGGACTAGATAATCTTAGAGGTATTTTCCAACCTTTATGATTCGACAATTCTTTTTTTCTTTTCTGTCTTTGCCCACAGAATGCACAGCTGAGTTTTCAGCTCTGGCTCGAACTCCTTTGCAGAATAAGTCATTAAAATGGCAGCTCTGCTAAAAGTGGTTACAGTGGGACCCAGATACAGAGAAAGACAGAGGTATTTCTAAATGCCAGGTGGAAATTTCTTTCTAGATACATGTGCATACACAGATAAAATAGTAGATCATTTTTCCTTCAGGAAGTTTCCCAAGAAGACCTTGCAGCCTTCAGTGAACAACAGTGAGAGCTATAGAAATCTTCAAACCTCATAAGAATCCTTGGACAGTAAACGTTTTTCTCTGCGTACAACTCCCGTAGGCTTGTTATGGAAAGGATTGTCACCAGATTCACAAATGCCCGTGGAACCTGCCAAGAGAACAAGCAAACCCATAGCTGATGCCTGGAGCAGGGTGCCATCTCCACCCTTACACAGCCACAGCAGGCCTCAGAGAACAGCCTGCTGATTCAGACAGCTTACATTATTTATAACAGCAACGTGCAAAGTACTTTCTTAATAATTAATCCCCTCTCAGACAATACCAAATTACAGCTCCTATATGCACTAGCTATTTTTGTTTTGAATGCTAATGGACTGGGTACTTGAAAATATGGGATCCAGAAGGTCCAAACTAGGCGTAATGGGCCCTAGCACTGCTCAAATACTGACTGACTTTTTCAGTAGCCTCACCATCAACTTCATTCTCACCAGCATGATCAGAATTGATTTTAAAAACAACAAAAAGTGAGCTTGTTTGCAATGTAATGAATGAGCAAAGCACTTCATAGTCATTGAATATCGTGTTTGCTCAGATTGTTACACTTTTTACATGATTTGCCTGTTTACCATCAGCTAGAACTCAGCATATCCTTATTCATTCTGTAAAATATTTCTGCAGACCTTTCTGCCTCTCAGAAGGATTTTCCTGTACATAAGGAACTGAATTCTCTATCAGTAACCAGTGGCAGCTTTACAAACAGGACACAATCCCCATTCACACATACTAGAAAAATTTGTTTTACCTCTTTGTGAAGCATGTCCAAAGCTACTTGAATATTATAGGTGTAGTTTTCAGGAGAAAAGCGTATCTGTTGAAATAAGAGGACAGAGTTTTATTGTAGATCAGTTTACTCAAGCAGCACAACAGTGACTATTTGGCATCTGTCAGAGCAGCGTTCACAGTCCTGTGTAAGCTTTCTCTGTCTCTGCTTTTCTTCTTCACCATCACAGCTGTCTTATTCATTCACAATAAAAGAGGTAGCGGTGAAGGAGCAAATTCAGGAGACGGTATCAGTCATCACAACACCCTCCACCTCATGCTGGTCTAGGCCACCCTTTAATGCAGTGGACCAATATTAGAAAAGAGATCAACTTTTATAAAAGTAAGATAACTTCTGCAACATGAAACATTAGCAACATGCTTGCTATGTACTCCTTACCTCCTACAAATATTAACTGGCACATTTTAGTTCTGCACAGAAAAAAACTGTACCAGAGAAACTTAAGTCTCAAACCACTTTATATTTGCCACTTAGCAGCAAAACATCTTTATTCAGTTTGAGTGGTTTGAATAATCTTATTCAATTGTCTCAATCTGACTTCTATTTCTTCCCTTGTGGCCCTATTCCATAATAAAATACAGTTCCCTATGAAAAACATTTCTTTCTTTCTCATTTTCAGCTTTAATTCTCCTTGATTTAATTTCATGCTGAAGTTCCTTGTGAGCTTCACCTATTTTACAAAACTAGACAGCTCCAGCTCCAGCCTTTGTTGTGTCCTAAAACAGAGCTCACCAAGAACACTACAGTTGGTACTATCTGTAGTTGTGGGACATAAAGGAAGTATCATTCTGATCTTTGGATGCCAGTCTGGCATCCCCCCGTCACCCACCCTTATGTGCAAACACCACGTTGTTTGACAGCAGGAGAAGGCGGCAGTAATGCTTAAATTGGTCCTGATTTTATTGTGCTTCATTGTTGTTTGGCTGATCTGAAATTAATCATGCAAAAAAGTACATGCTCTGCTGTTTGTAAGCAGATAAGAAAATGATATCTCTTCACTATGCGAGAAGTCTGAAGGTTGCATGTATGTATGTACTTGTATTATATTTTATACTATGTTGTATTGTATATAATCACGTCATCATGAGCTGGGGGTAGAACTACTGCCATTGTGCTGAAGCTGGCAAGAGAGATGCTTTAAGCGTGACTGTGCACAAGGTGAAGGAAAAGGGCAAAACCTTGACAGTATCTTTTATCAGGTAACTAGATAGCAGAAAGGCAATCTTAGCTAACAACAAAACAAAGTAGCCACAGTTATGTAATTTACAGACAATCTAAAGATATCCCTTCGTTTATCATATCATTATGGTGAACAGACTCAGTGCTGCTGCACAGGGCGGCCAAGTTCACACTGAGGGCAGCGGGTGACTTACAGGATCTTCGCAGAATTTACATAGGTCATTTCCTCCTATGAAAAGCGTTATAAGCTTCCAGTCAGACTGCATATTTATTCTCTGTGCACAGAAAGAGACAGAATGGAAGTTATGAGGAAAGAAAGTAAAATAAAATGAAGACCAGGCAACAGACTAAACATAAATATAACATTTCTCAGGCAACCTGGCGTTACCTCTAAGCGTCTTCATGACAAAATGAATTTGTAGTCACAACTATGAGGATGTACAAACAACTATGATCTAAAGAAGATTTACAGCATCAGTAATATGCAAAATCATTGGTTTCTGAAAACTATTGCTCAAAAATCCATCTGCTTCATTTATTTATTTATTTATTTATTTATTTATTTGCAATGTCTTGTATACACACTGACTGACTCCTCCTGCAGCTTTGGGAATACATCTTCATTGCAGAAATGATGGTATGTGTTTTACCGTGTCATAAATAATGCAGCTATCCTGCTGGAAAACCCTGGAGGGCAACATATTTCAGTACTGCAGTGAGACAAACTGCAAAGAATAGAGGGGCATTATCAACTATTTAATGATAGTGGTAAAAAATTACAGTAATTTTTCTCTGAAAGGCAAAGCAATAGCTAATGCAAGGTAATCATGCTACAGTAAACATAAACTTAGCTTTGAGAAAACCTTCAGATATAATTAGTACTATAGAGTTGACACTGTACTCAGTACCTTAACACATCAACTTCAGTGCAGAACACTACTAGGAAAAGCAGGAATAGAACATCAACCTCAAGTGGTTTAAAAGTGTCTGTCTTCAAAGGCTGAAGGTAACACATCCCAGTTGGTAAACACACCATTCAGTAGTTTGATCTCAAAATGTACTTATCCAAATGAAAAATGGAGGAGAAAATTTTCCTCCTGCACTAAACAGGTGTTTTATGAGGAGAAAAAGGAATTCTTAAATCAAAGATATATTACCTCTAATATGAGCATTCTTTCTAGTTAATTCATTATGTAAAGCATATTTGCATTCATTTGTTGTGTGATGTTTCCAAGCTGATGAATACAGCAGAATAGTCTTTGAAAGCCTTGGCAAATACTGGTGTGAAAAAAAACTATCCAACTTCCTTTTTGTAAGCTGGTATCCCTTCTAATCTCATTTCAGACAAAGCTGTAGTAAGATCTTGTAAAAGTAAAATCTTATACACAAAGTGCACAGAAAAAGGAAGGTATGCAAATATTTCTGCCAATATGTATTCACCTGATTATTCATAGTAGATATGTACACAGTTATCTTGAAGCCTTCTTGGCTGCTCTCCAAATGCACAATCAGAATACCAAAATAGTACCATGTAACCAAGGTCACTGATTGCATAGCACATATGTCAAATTACAAATGGTAAACATTCAAAGCAGTAATTAGGTGAAAAATACGTAAATAATCCTCAGCCTAATACCTATTTTATAGATCATTAATCAAATAATTCCTAACAAAAAGTGTGGAAGGCAGAAGTCAGCTGATGACTAACTCAAAGAAAGGACTAAATTGTTTTTAATGAAAACAAGTTCTTCCCATATTCACTCTGTATGACTTGCCATTTAAAAAATTTGTCCTCAACATCTAGCATCTTCACAGCTGGCAAAAACATACATTTACAAAACAATTAAGAGCATGACAGTAAAATCCTAGCAGAGGAACCTAACAGAGTGAAGTAGGTTGAGAGGGGAGGCAACTGTACTGAGTTTACCAGCCAGTGAGGGTAAAAAATGATAGGAAGGTTACGATTGTTTGGCCCTAGTTTCAACTGGGATAGAGTTAATTTTATTCCTAGTAGTTGGTATGGTACTTTAGATTTAGGATAAGAATAATGTTAATACAGGGATGTTTTAGTTGCTGCTTAGAGCCAGGGCCTTTCAGGCTCCTCCTGCTGCCCTGCCAGCAAGGTGCTGTAAGTGCACAAGGAGATGGAAGGGGATACAGCCAGGACAGCTGACCTAAACTGGTGAAAGGGATGCCCCATATCAGATGTCCCTTACCACACAGCACCATGTTCAGTAGTAAAACTGGGGGAGAGGGTGGCCAGAATTGCTGCCTCTGCTCAGACACTGGCTGGGCCATGGTTCAGCTGGCAGTGAGAATTACACTGTACGCTCTCTCTGTTTATTCTTCTTCTTGATGATTTTTCCTTTCTCCTCCCCTCACCTTTGTATATTTTTTTCATGTTTTATTAAATTTTCCTTCTCTCAACCCATGAGATCTTTCACTTTTCAATTCTATCCCTGATTCTGCTCATCTGGGTGGAGTGAGCGAACAGCCACGTGCTGTCTGGCTGCCTGCTGGGTTAAAGCACAGCCAACCTATCACATACTGGTACAAATTCAGTTAAGACAAAGTTATGGATGATTCTGTACTGAACGTTACACTGTGCACTGCTGTACCCATAGTTTTATGTTTAGCATTTGCTGTAGTGTGTTACACTGTCACTAAAAATAATGCCAAATTACTTTATCTTTTTTAAGATATTCACGATATGTTAAACTCACACTGTCATTCATCATTCGGTCCACCAGTCTTCTGACCTGTGCAGGAACATCCCTAAAAATTAAATAAAAATAAAAAAGAAGTCCTGCACAGACAGCAAAGCAAAGAAGAAAGGTGATGAATGGGCATCTATAACTAAAAAAATACTGAGACTCCAGTTTTGCTGTATGCAGGATGATTACCTAGAAAATGCTATATTTTGAGACAGTGATGAAAAAAGTGAGAAAACAGCATACAACAAGTGCTTGATCACTTTGCAAATGCTGCATAGTTACACTTCTGTAAACGATATACATAGAAAACACACTGTGCTATCATAAACCAAATGCACTTTGCTCCTTCCCAACATCAGAGAGATGCTATTAATATACACATCACTGAAGTAACCATGCACGCATCAATATTATCACATGGCCTCAAGCACTGATGCATGTTTTATAAGAAGTGTTCCCAGGAATAAAGGATGTTGTATGAATTTCACAGAAGATTGAGCAGAGTGATCTCTAGCTAATTCCCAACTCTACCACAGACTGACCATAAGCAATCCATTTTTTTTTTAATCTTGGCTTTTCTATAGGAAATCTTGGTCCTACTGACAAGAGGACTGGAATATAACTCCAGTGCAGTGGAGATACTTACAATAGGGATATGAAGCTTTCTGATTAGTGCCTGTGAAGTGCTTTGGTTGATAATGTTAGAGAAAGCTTTCATTTGACAGATAAGAAAAATTGTAAAGCCCCCACTACATTTCTCAGCTTTCATGCTAAAGATGGACTAAAGAAATACACTTGGGTTTGCCTACCAGCCTTATCTGCCACACTCTAGGATTTACACTAAGTTTTAAAAGAAAAATCAACTTTCTGTTCAAAATAAAAGGTTTCATCTTACTCTGCCTGAGCCCCTGCAACTGCTTGGTTGAGAGCAGCATTTTCTGTAGTTTGCGTTCCAGTGCCAGTGGAATATCCTATCAGGGATGGGTTGAACTCACGAAGAATGTCTGCAGAAAAAGAGAACACCATGAAACGTTGCTTACTTCAGCAATAACAAGTGGAGTCATAAAGATGAGATTTTATTACAAGAACACTTAAAAGCTTTAAGAGATATCTGTCAAAAATTAACCCCGAAGAAATGTGTGGGGCTGAAAATATTTTTTTGCTTGGTAATTCAGGCTACATAACCCTATGCTCAGGCAAGAGACTCATTCTGTCTTGCTAAATGGAGACGGGTAGGAATCAAATCCTTTGGCCTCATCTTATACCTTGAACCTTAAGGTATAAGGTACCTTATACACAGATAAGGTATACCTTAAACACAAAGACCTGGATGTCCCTCCAGACCTTGGGTTGCAAAGCAACCTTACAAACACCACAGAACTAAAACGCTCAGATCTCTAGTGTATATAAAACCCGATATTGTAAAATGATTCCACACCTGCTTAAAACAACTTTCCCATACAGTCAAGCCAGTACTTTAGGTTATGATCTAGTGTCTTTGATTCATCTAACCCCAACACATTTGGAATAGAATTATAACTAACAGGAAAAGTACAAAAACAACCAAACCGTAAGAATGACAAATACATGGTTAAGCCACACACAAATTACATTCCAGCTGTTAAGCAAATTCTACTCAGCAGTGGACATTGAATACAAAATGATTGGTTCTGTCATGATACAAATAGTAAGTCCTCCTTCAAAAAAAAAAATTATTTGATTAATAATAAAGGATGCTTTATCAAACAGTTCCAGATATTTATCAGGTTTATGGAAAAATGCACTTACTTGCTAGTGTCGTGACCGTGCTAATGTTTTCATTTCCTCCAACACTTTAAAAAAAATACAAGAAATGTTCTAAAATACAATGGATTTCTTAAGGCAGTGTACTAAGTACGAGAGCTCCCCTCATGCACTTTTTGTATATGAACACAGTACATTCCCTACCTACTGTTAGTATTAATTCAAAGCACACCCTTTGCGTGCATACCAAAGGGATCAAAAAATCAGAGTGACCATCATAACCGTAATTACAGTAGCAGCTCTGTACACTAACTGCCCTTCCAATCTCTCTCATCTTGTGAGAAATGTTAAAAAACTGCTGACAGAAATAAAAATGTTAAAAAGCTGCCATTTTACTATTGTTATCTCTGTTAAAATATTTATTACTTCAATTTGTAGTTAATAATTCTTTTTTACCTATAACAGGTTGCAAAAGTAGATATTTCAGAGTGATAAGTAGACTCAACATCTTTTCTACTCCCCAACCCTTCACCCTAATCTCATTCAACTGGAAGACTGCTACCAGACTGGTGACATTCATCATCTGTGTGCTACAGAATGCTAACATACTTTTTTTTTTCCCAGAAAATCAGTAGAATATTATTACAGATCAAAATATTAAAATAGGGATTTACAACTCTGTAGCATCCCTTTAATTTGGAATAGACTTTTTGAAGTGCTCTAGTACTTGTTTAAATCTCTATAAATCTTGCAGCTTCTCAGGTGGGTAATTACTTGATGAGCACAAAATCAACCTGGCAGGTTTGGTGTTAAGTCAAGCACTTTCAAAGAACTAAGTGAACACAATGACCTTTCTTTAGAATTACTTTTTGACCTGTCTAAATGCTGGATATGTACAAGTCTGTATTAATAACTGACATGTTTTGCATAACATAAATAGTACTGGGGAAGGGGTGAGGAAATACTGACTGCAGATGAAAAAGCAGGAAGAAAAAGGACCTCATCCTGGCTTTTTGTAGACCATTAGATCTAAATGAGAAAAATGAACGACATAGGCTACAGTGGGAAAGAACAGATGGGCAATTGAAATAGCAGGGACAGAAATACAGAATACCTAAGTGGTGCATTTGAACTGAGATCTGGGATTCGCAACAGCTGCAACTGTGAGAGAAGAAAGGGGCCATCTTGATGATGACTCCATTTTATTTGCACATACAGTCTTAGACCAGCCACACTACATCATACTTCAGATAGTCACTGGTGCAAATATTTTATTTATCATAAGTAAAACCACAACCAGTTTTATACAAAACACAGTCAAAATCAGTCTCCACAAAATCTCCACTTATTATCTAAAAACAAGTGTATAAACGTAACTCCAAGAAAATTAATTCCTTGCTATCGGTGAGAATTCTCGGTACTCACCTCCAAGAAATACCTCGGTACTGAGTTAGAACATCCAGAACATCATGGGGATTGGATGCTGCCCCATTACCTGCCTGGAAGTAGAGGAGAAACAGATATCACCTTCAAAAAATAAGAATTGCTACAATAACTAGTTCTCTGACTTATCCTAGTGAAAATAATTTAGGAGAATGTTAATGAGGCAAGCTGCATCATCTTCCCAAAATATAACAGATCTTTTTTCTCAAGAGGATCAAGGGCTGAGGGTATTTCAACTCTGCTCCACTAAATTACCCACTTCTATCAACTTCTTGATTAGATCAAGTGAGGGAAAGGTGGTTGAGTGTGTTCAAAATGTTCACATAATTCTAAATTTGCATAAGGAATAAATAAAATAGCAATGGCCTTGAATGAATAATTGATTTTTGTGTTCATTGCATTAAAACACGGTACAGTGATTTTCCATCTTCCTTCTCCCATTTTCCCCAAGAAAGAAGGTTGCAAAGATTAAATACACTAGTTATTACAGAAATAAGAAATACGAATTACGATACGAGCAGTGAAACAGTCTTCACTGATTGGAGAATCACAGCCAGTCTATGTGTAACCCTTTTATGTACCTCCAGGAGTAGTGCTAAAAGATTCTTCACATGAGATACTTGATACACCTGATAATCCACTGTAATTTTTCTCAAATACTTAGTCAGTTTAAATGAACGTGGCTTTCTAAACTTTAGTGTTATTTTATGTATTCACATTAGCGGCAGAATCTTCTGCTTACTCTGCTTACTAATAGCTTTGGAGGACAACACCTTGATTGCTGCATAGAATCAATAAAGAAAAGCAAGTTACAAGTCCACTCTTGCAGGGTATTTGTGCTGCTATGCAACCCAATCTTGCAGTTACTCCTTGTTCAGCACTCTCGTGGACTTTAAATGGGAACCATGCACACATTTGACTCATTATCTGATTACCAGTCAGCCAAGGTGGAGTATTGAAACAAATACATGAAAACTGCATTTGACTCAATAGGGCATATCTGCATGCACTCTCAAGTTAAAATTCAGAAATGGTCTTTCATTACTTGCTTTAATGGTGGTTAACCAGCAATTTTTACTTACTGTGATTGAATCTCCCAGGGCAGCAATCACTCGAATATCTGCTGGTCTCAACTTATGAACTAATAAAAATAAAAGCAGCAGGAGGGAGAAAATAGAGAAAACTTAAAATAGTGATGGTTATCAGAACTTTTGTTTGGTATAAAAATGAAGAATAGCAAGGACATAATTTTAATAATCATGATGACAACAGCTCAGAATGACAGATACCAAGTCATAAAAAAAAAAAAAAAAAAAAAAAGATGCATGGTACCTTAATTTGACATTAGCTGCATTGACAAGGGAAGCAGTAAGATACCAGTTTTACATCTGTGCTCTCCAATTTGTTCTAACTGGTGGAAACTGCTGAAAGGCATGCACAGCTCCAGTGCCAGCACAAGGTGAAAATTTAAGGCTTGTCATAGCTTCTGAGAGAAGATGAAACCCATCTGGGACAGGACTCCACATGGCTCTTTGGAATGACAACCTACTGGCTTTTCTACTACCACTTCTTTGCTTGTATCTGGAAGGTGCATTTGAGTAAATTTTCACTATTCCTCAGGGAAAGCAATTATTTATGTTGTTTCAAAGAATTTTTAAATCACAGGCAAAAGAATATACTGCTTCACCTAAAAGTGCACATTTTCTAACTAAAACCAGTTCTTGTTCCTCTTCAACTATCAAATGAAGTGGATCTATATATAAAAAAAAAGATTGCATAATACTGTACCTGAATCTGGAACTGTATCAGAGGGACCCTGGTTGAAACAAGGAACATTTGTTCCGTAACTTCTCTCCTGGAAAAGCAGACAGTACAACTCTTAATCAGACTCATCATACTTGTCATGATTAACCATTCATATCTCAGAGCATTATGTCAACACACTTCCCCCCGTACTTTGTGCACATCTACCACCTCAGCCTTTCCCCAGGCCATGCTAAAACCAACCCTCTGAAGGCAGACAGAAATTCAGACCACTCAGAAATTGCATGTCTACAATAGCACAACACTACTTCTGCCTACTTGTAGGGCCACTTATTTCAGACTCTGTGCCATGCTAAATTCAGCTAAGCAATTTTTAATGCTTCTGTATTCTGAGCTAAGTGAGCTCACACCCTTTTGTGCTTGAACATCCCTGGAATATCCTAGCACTGAACTGTACCTTTGCCAACAGGCCACAAGCCTGTCCTCTCAGTGTGCAGCCCCTTCAACACAACGGTTAGACTGTAGGTGTAAAGTGAATGCTATAGCCAGGCACTACCAGGACTGTGGTACCTATCCAGAAGGGTGACAATACTTCCATCCTCCTAGGACCTTTGAGTTGCAGCCCACTGACAGAAACATCCCCAAGGTTTTTCATAGCAAAGGCTGACTGTATGCTAGAGTGGACTGTAGCATATTACCTAAGGATGTGCAGTTGCTCCAGGTCTCTCTAGAGCACTCCTCAAGGAAACTAACTTGTCTAAGGAAAAGGCTTTTTTTTGTCTCACCTCATCCTGTTTTCTTTAAACACAACACAGTTATAGTGGAGGAGATAAGAAGGAACAGTATTTCTAAAATCAGATTGGCAGGTACTGTTTGCCCCATACAGAGGTCTACGCACCATTAGTAACTAGCAAAACAGTTGGAGTTACGTTAAAACTATTCAAAAAGCACACAGTCCATTTTGAGTGCAGATATAGCCTAGACACTGTATTTTGGGGCACAAAAGATGAGCTTTATGCTTTCCTTCTGTAGCTCTCTGGGAGCATCAAATTCTGCTCAGAATCAGAGAACCATGACTAAAAAAGCATGGCTACTTATCTCTACGCAGCTAATATTCAACTTACAAAACAACAACAAAAAATGAAACAACTGTTGTTCCATCAGTTTTGCTATGGAGTGCACCAGATGAAATCAGACCCACACACGCTGATTTGATCTAGTTTCCTCCACAGTAAAATTAAAGGGCCTGTGTTTTCACTATTTCCTTATCCCAGAGAACTTAACACTGACCTAGAAGTTTAAAAAACACTCTTAACAGAGACTTACTTTCCACTAGTTGAAGACATCTACCATGAGTTACACTCTATAAATCCAACAAAAAGAAAACATGCTATCTGACTGTTTAGTCAAGCAAGGAATTAGTGTTTGAGCTTTTTATTCAGTAACATTGTTTAATTAGGCTCCAATACAATTCCACCCACCTGTTCCACTCCCTAGAATACACTTAGTCCATACGTTGTAAACAGTTCTACCTTACCTGCGGTATTTCTTTAGTGTTTGATATCCCCTGGGAAAGTGAGTAGTTACTATTTCTATATGTGAACAAATATGGATTTTCCTGCAGAAGTAAGAGAAGTTTGTTTAAACAACAAACAAACAAAAAACCCCCACAATACTGAAAACTCAAACAGCTGATATTACGTTATTCTGAACAGGATTTCCATAAGAAGAAAATATAGACTTTAATCTTTGAATGAACATCGAACAGGTGAAGTAAACCAGGTTAGACCTAAAAATTAAGACTTTGAATGCCATAGGCACAACACTACCTCTTGCCTCAAATCTAACTTCAAACAAAACAGATAATTTAATTTCTTTGATGCTTTAATTGCTGTTTAGTGAAGCGTTGTGATGCCAGTAGTGTTTCATCACTATTAAAGTATTGAAGTCAATGCTTAAATGCAAAAACATTCAAGAATCTGTTCTTTGAACTTCAGAAATACTCAGACCCTGAAGATGCTGAGTTACTGAGAACTTCACAGATGAAAATAGTTAAATCAGACAAAGACAGAATCAAATAACCGAAAAGTCAAATTATATAAAATGCATAGATTCAATTTTATTGATGAAAGATACTGACAATGCTTTATTCATTATTTACAATTTAACAATTCAGATTAGATGGTTTTTAAATAAAAAATTGACAGTAAGATGACTTAACTAAACTTTATCAGAAGTTCTTGTTTTCTGAGTTTCGTCTCTATACAACAAAACCCGTGTCAATTAGCTTTAGGAATACTTTTTTGTGGTGCAGTATCTTAGGAAAGCATACGTTTCTAAGAACTTCAGAAGATGACAATATTTGAAAACTTGGAAACTCTACAAAGGGTAAGTAAAATCTCCCAGTAATAAGGAAATACTTTTACCTGAGATGGACACTGGACCTGATGCAATGTTGTGAAATCGTATGGCTTCTTCTGCCCAACTGGTTCCATCTGGAAAGGGACAAAACAAAGGACTTATACATGTGCTGTGTGGGGACAGAATGGGAGAGCAGCAGTAACTCAGAGGCTCTAGTGCCTCGAGTTATCCATCAGGTTAATACATATTAAAAACTTGTTTTGCTTGTGAGTGATTTTAAATTTGCATACTACATGCATACCTACAAAATCTGGGAGAGGCCCTTTTTTCAGCTCCTATGATCTGATTGTCATTTTGTCATCATTAGGAGAACCATCCACTCATTAAATCTGTCTTTGGGAATGCTGGCTGCAAGGCGTGGATCTCGCACCACAGCATTTGACTACTTGTAATTGAGACATTATTTATCAACCCAACAACAGCAACTAAGGACATGCTCTAGAAGAGCACAGCTTCAATCATTTGTGATTCATTCCCTCCTCTTATATAGCTTAGACTTGGATGCAATTAACAAGTCACTTTCACTTCCCAATTGGGCCAGGTATGAGAAAACAAAAGGGTTGTTACCACAGTAAAAATTGCTACTGTACCTCTTGAGAAAACTATGCTCTGAGTCAGATTATACAGAGGGCTTGTTGAAGACCACACTGCTTTACTTCAGAAGTAGAAAATAAAAAATCCCTAATATAAATGGAAAACTAAAATTTGTCTGTTGGGCGATATATTTGGGTTGCATCAACCCCTTCCTTCTGTCTTGTGAATATTATGCTTTAGTGCTCCTTAAACTGCAAACTCATTTTGCAACAGTCAGAAACAGGGAATATTAAAAAAAAAAAATCATGCATCAATTCTGTGGTGGCTGTAGCTCACT